GACCATTGGGGTCTCTTTTTATCTTTTTGAGTTTGAAATCTGTTTTATCTGATATAAGTATAGCTGTTCCTGCTTTCTTTTTTGGTCCATTTGCTTGTAGGATTGTTTTCCATCCTTTAACTTTGAGCCTATTTTTATCTTTTGTAGCTAAATGTGTTTCCTGGAGACAGCAAAAGGTTGGGTTTTGTTTCTTAATCCAGGCTGCAACTCTGTGTCTTTTTATTGAAGAATTTAGTCCATTTACATTTAGAGTTAATATTGATAACATCTGTATTTGCCATTGTGTTTGTCTTTCCTTTGATTTTATTTATTCTTTTAATAACCTTTTTTTTTTTTTGGCCTTCTTTCATTGTTATTCATCCCTCTGAGGTTCTGGCTTTAGGACTCCTTGTAGTATTTTTTGGGGTGGGGGTTTAGTTGTAATGAAATTCCGGAGTTTCTGTTTGTCTGGGAAGGTCCATATTCTTTCTTCAAAGAGGAAAGGGAGCTTTGCGGGATAGAGTATTCTTGGTTGGCATCTGTTTTCTTGGAGTCTGTTGACTATATCCCTCCACTCTCTCCTTGCCCGTAGTGTTTCTTCGGAGAAGTCTGATGTCAGCCTGATTGACTTTCCTTTGAATGTTATCTGTTTCTTCCCTCTTGACAGCTTCATTATTTTTTCCTTGTCCTGGATTCTTGGGAGCTTTACTATTATGTGTCTTTCTGTATTTTTCCTTTCGTCGTGGAAGTTTGGTGTTCTTCTTGCTTCTTGTATATCAATTTTCAGCTCCTTCTTCACATTTGGGAAGTTCTCTTCAATTATCTCTTTGAAAATTTTCTCTGTTCCTACTTCTCTCTCCTCTCCTTCTGGTATTCCTATAACTCTTATATTTCCTTTCCTCATGGAGTCAGATAGTTCCCATAGTCTTTCTTCGTTCTTTTTCCTTCGTACTTCTCTTTCCTTTTCTGTTTTGGTTCTTTTTATTTCTGTGTCTTCAAGAGAACTTATTCGTTCTTCCATTTCATCTATTCTGCTTTCATTGCTTTTCCCAGAATTCTTTAGTTCTTCCATTAATTCTTTGATCTCCTGCATTTCTTTTACTTCCCTCTTTAGGGACTCAATTTCATTCTTCTGATCGTTGATTATTTTTCCCTTATCATTGTTTTCCTTTATGACTTCTGTCAGTTTTTTAAACACGGCAATTTTAAATTCTCTTTCTGGAAGGCTCAGAAGTTCTTCCAAGTTACTGTCGTTGCAATCTGGGGGCTGGTTTTCTTTTTGTGGTGTGCTTTTCCCCTGGGGAGTAGCTAGGTTGCGTGTGGTTCTTCTCCTCCCTACTGTCTGTTTTCTAATTTGCCGTATGCGTTGGGATACTGTGTTGTTGGGACTGGCCGCATCTTGGGTGAGCTTCTCCGCTCCCCTCTGGTTCCTCCAGGAGTCATCTGTCAGTTTCAAGCAGTTTTTACTGGAGAAAGGTCCCTGTTCTAAAATGCCGATGTGGGGACACACTCCCCTGTGCGCCTGTTCTGCCCCGGTGGTGGGTTCCTGCTCCCCCTCTGGGCTTGGACTGCAGGCCAGAGGGGGTCTGGCGTGGGCAAACTTCCCCCGCTCACCTCTGGCTCCTGAGGAAGCCTTCTGCAGGTAGTCTTTACTGAAGAAATGTCCCTGTTCTAAAATGGTGATGTGGGACACACTCCCTGCACGTCCAGTCTCAGGCACACTCTTCTGCGCGCCTGGTCTGCCCCGGCTGTGGGTGCTCGCTCCCCCTGTGGGCTCAGACTACTGGTCGGAAGGGGCCGGGCGTGGGCTAACTCCCCAGCTGGCCACTAGCTCCTTCAGGAGCCTCTGCTGTTTCAAGTCGCTAGGTGGCGCCAGAGATCTCTCCTAGAGCCCTTGGGGAGCTGATTATCCACCCAGTGGGACAGGGAACAGAGCGGGGATGGTAGGGTACACCTCAACGGCTTTGGGGTGCTGTGTCTGCCTTGTGCCCCACCGTCGTGGGGAACGCACGCCCCTAATTTCGTGCCCCGAGTCTCAGTTCCAAAGCCCTCAGTTCCAGGACGCGGGCTGTAGCCCAGTTCAGTGGCGCGGGAATGGCGCCTTTTGAATCCCGCTCCCGTGCCTGGGTGCCTGGTTCCTGCTCACACGGTGAGGGCCTCTGCGCGTCTCCCCGCAAGCCTAGGTTGCAGGCGCGGGGACCTGGGCAGCTGCGATCCGATCCGGATCCGCGTTTGCTTTTCAACCGCACTGCTTTTCGCGCGATCCCGTTTCCGCTCTGAGCCGCCTTTCCGCGCAATCCCGATCCCGATCCGCGTCTGCTTTTCCAGTGCACCGCTTTTCCGCGCAGGCTTACCGGGCAGCCCGGGGCTGTGTGCTGGTCCTGGTCTCCTCCTGGGGGGCGGGGTCTCTCTTTAATGGCGCCTGGAGCCCACCTCCGCGGCGAATCCTGCAGAATTCTCCACAGCTCCCGTGCACGGGGTGTGGTGGGTGCAATAGTTCCTTTCCACTCCCAGTCCCGCTTGCTGCGTCGTTTGCTCTTGTTGGCTGTTTTGGTTTGTTGTTTTCCTCCTCTCTGCTGGTCGGAGAGTGCCGCCTCTGTGGGCGGGGGAGGGGAGCAGGGTTCTGCGCTTCCCTCCCTTCTGGTCCTCTTTTATGGCAACTTTCTTCTTCGGGCAGTTCGGCGTCACCCGTTTATCTTCCGTGTCCCAGTTCTCACTGGGACCTGCCGCTTTTCCTCCCTATTAACTTTTTTTAATGGGAGATCTTACTCGCAGCGTCTCCTCGCCGCCATGTTGCTCCGCCCCCATCCCCGCACTTCTTTGTTTTTACTTTTGATTCCTTGCTACTGGGGTTGTATTCCCAAATACATCTTCGTGGTAAAGGTCCTGTGGCATAACCCCTATATTTTTTTAAGTACTTTATGGTTTCATTTGAAGTGGATTTTTGTATATGGTTTTCTTTTTTTTTTTTTGCATGTGGCTATCTATGTTTCCAACACCATTTATTGAAAGGCTATTTTCTCCACTGTATGGCTATAACTCCTTTGTCAAAAATTATCTGCCTATATTTACATGGATCTATCTCTGAGCTTTCCATTCTGTCCCATTGGACTGAGTTTCTACTTTTGATCCAGTACCATACTGTTTTAATTACTGTTGTTATGTAATATTGTTGAAGTCCGCAAGTGTGTAATGTAATCATCCATTTAAGATGATTATTAATACATGAAGCTCTGCTACTTCCATTTTGCCTATTTTCTTGTTCTATTTCCTTTTTCAATATTTTGGTGAAGTTTCTTGTCTTTGATGTAGATAGGAGAGCTCCTTTCAACATTTCTTGTAGGGGAGGTATAGAGCTGACAAGATGTTCAGCTTCTGTTTGTCTGGGTATCCTATATTTCACCTCATATATGAAGGAGAGTCTTGTAGGAGATAGTATTCTTGGTTGGCAGTTTTTATCGTAAAGCATTTTGAATCTATCATTTCATTCTTTCCTTGCTTTGTAGGATTTTCTTAGAAGTCTCATATAAGCTTTTGAGTACTTTGATTGATGACCTGCTTTTATTCTATAGCCATCTTCAGTATTCTTTGTTTTGAATTCTTAGTGGTTTTGCTAGTCTGTGTTTTGGTGTCGGTCTCATTATATTTAGATAACTAGGTGTTCTTTTAGCTTCATGGATTATATATTCAATTCAGCCCCAGGTTGGAAATTTTTCCCTCTATTCTTTAAGTTTTCTGTCCCCTATTCCTGCCCCTTCTGAGCTACTCTTTATTCTTACATTGCCTTTCCTAATGAAGTTAGATAGTCGTAGAAGTGCTTCATTTGTTTTCCTCTGTATTTTTGTTGTTTCACCTGCGTCCTTTACACATTATTTTTGAGGTCATTTAATTTATTCTCCATCTGGTTTATTCTGCTTCCATAGCTTTCTCCAGCATTTATCTTACCTATTAATTGGCTTACATCCTAAATCTGTTTTCTTAAACTTAAATTTCTATTTCCTGCTCATTAATTTTATTTCAAGTCATATGTTTGGTTTTCTGAATTTTGTTGTATCTCATTGCTTAGTTTTCTGAAGTCTCTTGTGTCATTTTTACTGTGTTTGTGTTTTCTTTCATGTCTTTGATTTTCTTTATTGTGTAATTTGAACTCATTATCTGATAAGAAGACAAAATTTTCCATGTATTTGTGGCTATGTTCAGGAAAGTAGTTCTCTGTACATGATGTCATATTCCCTTGACATTTTAGGTCAAGTGGCCATGTATTTTTCCTGCTCATTTTCCTGATTTCTATTTTCCTATTTTTAAAAAAGTATGTGCAGCAGTAACATAGAGATTTAAACTTTTGCTTTCCAGCAGATGGCACTGTGGTTTTATATGATTTCAGCTTTTTCGCCTTTCATCATCTTTCTAGAACCAGAGAGCTTATCCTGTAGCCATTGAGTCTGGGTGTTGGGGAGGGACCTGGATGGGTTCAGCTGCTGCTGTGAATGCTTTTAGGGGCTGGGCAGGCTTGTGTGTGGTTCCTCTGATAGTCTTCCCAAAACACTGCAGTCTACACACTATGATTGTACTTCTTGAGATCAGTATTGGTCCTGACTGGTGAGGAGAATTCAATCCAATATGCTGTCCTTGGTTCTATTCACTGAGGACACTGCCTGCAGGGAGTACCCCCATTCCCTCACATGTATTTTTCCCTCAGTCAAGAGTGTGTGGGTGTGTAACTGGCTCAGAATAGCTGGGTAAGACAGCTGGCTTAGTTCCCTGCCAAGTGAGGCTGTAGTACGAGATTGCCAGTTGCCTGAATTCTCTGGCTAGGCTTAATGGATTGGGGGGGAGGGTACTCAGTGCTATACTTAGCAGTATGCAGTGCAGCAGGATGGAACTCAGGACCTGCACAACTCATTGTTGGGATCCATATCGGACAAGAATGTACACTGAATTCCCTGGTGAGGAATTCATTCCCTCTGCAGATAGGGAATGCCAAAGTTCTGTTCAAATATCACTATGAACAGGGCTTTTGGAGAGATTACATTCTTTCGTGTGATCTGGTGTCAGTTTCCCTAGTTGTGCAAGTTGAAGGCTGTATTAAGCAATGGGTGAGGTTAGATATTTTCCTGCCTGGGCTAGCAGGAAAGGCAGCTCTAACATCACTAAGGCTCTGTTTGTGGTCTTGACTCAAGTTGACCCATGCCCCAAGTTCTCTGGCTGAACAGGGCCATTTGCTTTGATATTGGAAGCAGTCAGCTCTGCCTGCTGGCTTCTGGGCTTGAGTGTGCTGGTTCATGCAGCAGTTTCCAGGTGTTTTCGCTCACCAGTGCTTCCTGTCATATGGGACAGAGGGCATGGTCCATACCAGTTGAAGCTATGATTCTACTCTTGGCCCACTCTAGGCAATCCCAACATTCCCCAAACTGGTTTCCTGGTTGGGAGCAGCCTCAAACCACGGTTTGCCACAGATAGGGCTAAGACTTAGATTTTCTGAGTGGTCATGGGCATTTCAGGCTCAGGACTGACATAATCACTCATTTGAGCATTCCCATTAGGTAGACCAGCACTGCATTGAGTTCCCTGGTCAGACTGCACCACCAAACTGGTTTATAGATGAATAAACCCACTCATCGGGGCTATATAATTGGGCTCCACAAACAGGAACTTGTTTTACGAAGATTCTAGTATGGATTGTTGGCAGCCCCGCTCCTTCTCCTCCATAATCAGATTCTCAGCACTGAGACCCACAGATTTCCCTATGACCTTTGTGGGCAGAACCACAGCAGGGCTTCCATGAAGTGACTCACAGTGCTAGGTTTGCTGTTGGCCTCTGTTTCCTACTGGAGAAACCATAGAGTCAGGGTAAGCTGTTGGCACTGAGTTAGGCCTGGGGGTCGAAGAAAGAATTCAATGTTGAGATCAGAGTGAGGCAGAAAAGCAAGAGATTTATTGACAGACAGGAGGTCAGGAAAGCTCTCTGAGCAGAAAGGGGTCCTGGATAGGTTGCCACTGAGGGGGTAAGAAGCAGGTTTTTATATGGGTATAGTAAGCAAGGAGTAGGGGTTCGGCCATTGGGTGTCTATGTTGTTTCTTGCCGACTAGTTGGGGCTGATTGTGGGGTCACCAAGGTTACTGAAGCCCACTGAGTCCCAGGTCACCTGATGTGCTTTCCCATCCATTGTTTTAGCATTGTTATTGTGTCGGTGTTCTGAATTGTTACTGGGTTGTGGGCCACCCTGTCCCCAACCAATTGTTCCTCAGTTTGATAAATGGGCTTAGGATACCTGGGCTTGGGACCCCTCCCCTCTGACTCTAGCTAACCACCTGTACCCATCTCCTACCTTCCTCATTCAGCATGCTGCTGCACAGGTTTGGGGGAGCAGCAATGCAATCAGTGCGTAGCGATTCCTCTTACCTATGATCTCTGCGGTGCAGCGGGGATAGTGCAACCCCATTCCCATGTTCTCGGATTCTGTGATCTTTCCCAAGAATAGTTTTCTTTTTGGTGAGGGGAACGCTAAGTCAGGAATGACCTATATCACTATTTGGTGACATCGGTTTCTACTATCCTCAGTGATCACAAACTCATGTTCCTTCAACATATTGCCTGACTTCTAATTATTGCAGTTATTTGAAGTCAAATCTAAGAATTGCTAGGTCACATAGTGTAAAGGCAAATTTGTATATCATAACCCCTTTTGACAACCCACTCCTTTAGAGAATGATTAAAACTGAAACCTAGAAAGAGAAGGGAGTGGATAAAAAGGGTATTTTACATCTGAAAAATACAGGTCTACCTCTATGATATGGATAATTTCAACACCTGTCAAAACTGAGGTTTCTAAACAACTCAAGAGTCCCCTTGGAGGTCTCTATTAAAGGGAAGACACTGTCCATCAATCCCTCCTTATCAACTCTACCCATCTCCATTTCCATTATGATTAGCAAGGGAAAGGGTTAGTTTCATTCACTGCTGTGCCTTGAATGGGGCTGTGTTCTTTTTAAGCCTTTATTAGGTATTTATGTAATGAGTGATTGAATGGATAATGTTAGGTTCATAAGTAAGATTTCAGTCATAAATATTTTGTGCTTGAAACAATTTTGAAACTAATTCAAGCAAAGTTAGTACTGGGGGCATAATGTGTGGAGGGTTAGGGCTTCTCTGAAATTTCAGCAAATATTAGGATTAGTAATACAGTATCAATTCTGTTTGAGAAGGAGTTCAGAGAAAATTTCAAGGCAGAAGAGGATTCAATGTGACAACACAATGGTCAGTTTCTGAAATGGGAACCTGGGTCAAGAAGTCCAGCGTCACTTTTGCAAGGTGCTCCTTTGCTGATGGATAAGGTGGTCAGACCAGTCATCCACTTGAATCTATCTATGAGAAAGCAAACAAGAATAAAACCCATTCCATAATCTTGCTATTTTTGTATATACTTATGGGTGGCCACAGAAACAATGACTGATTACTGGTCCTTAATTCACTATCTTAGTCCTCATTTTTAAGCAGGAGACTATCAATGCAAAACAACAAGACATAAGGTGCATATTCAATTCTACTGCATAAATGTCTTTCAGTTCTGCTGAAAACAACAAAACATTCTCTTGGAAAACAGAGGCACAGAGTTCATAAGTAAAGAGACACATTTCATTTGGCCAGGCAATGCAAAGGGGGTATATAAATTTATTTTTCATGTAGCAATTGATTAGTTTAGAAAAATTCCCATTTTCAATGTTTAATTCCATCTCTCATTTTAAAAAAAAATCACTAAAAGGACAAAAACCACACAAAAATACAATCTGTATATGTTCTATATTTACAGATAACCAGTCACTAATAAGGCACAGATTGATTAAAAACTAATATTTATTCAAATAATCCAAATAATCCAAATATTTTGTGCATCATATAACACTGACAACACTGTACACTGTAGTGTCATATTCCTTTCATTGCATCAAGAGAAAGTGAAAAAGCAATTTCCAGTGTTTTTGTTTTTTTTTTTAATTTTTAGCCACCCTACTTAATGTAGTTTAATAGGGACAGTCTTTCCTTTGGCATAATATCAAAGTACTGTTCACAAAACCTGTATCAACTTAATACTGCAAATTCATTCCATCTTCCTCCTGCTGCAAATACATGGTAGAGAGCTAGTAAAAGAGCTCTGAATGATTATTTGGGAAGATCTTACTAAAGAAATGATAAAATTTAAAGCACTGAGTTGAACAGGATGCAAATCTGGAATTTTTACTCTCTGCTAAATATGTAGCATGATGTATTATACAGACACATAATGCAGGGAGCTACAAGTGATAGTCGGTGTACATGTAACATGTGTAACATGATTCCATTGTATTTGCAAGGGGGGAAATTTAGTCGTGCATCCTTAAACAGGTATAGCTTAGTTTTCTAATGGGTATCTCCTTGGTGCCGATATAATCGATCATTTTATGATAGGCTCATTACACCTTCAGTCTTTCTAAAGTAAAACTTTTTCATGTGCAAAATTTCTCAAAATTTGTTTTTACTTTAATGGTAAGGCTTCACCATGGAAAAAATATCAGGCAGGTATTTCTGATCCCACATCTGTACAAAAGAGCCCAATTGGTTACTTAAGCCTTCTGCCGAGAGCACATGACAGTGGTTTATGTCCATGTAGAGAGTCTTGAATACTGAAACATAAATAAGTCATTACAGTACAGGTAATTCACAACATTTCCTATGGGAAATTTTTCTAACAAATACACTTGGAATAATATTGCTTTGAAGAGAGGCACTTAAGTGATTTGCTTCATGGATTGAAAACCCCTTATAAAGCCACAATGAGATGTCTGAAAAGACCTAAGAAACAATGCTGCCTGATTTGTTGGACTTTCACAGTGTAAGATTGTAACAATGTCTAGCCACTTAGAAGAAAGGTTTGTCCCCCTCCTTCAGAACTCAGGTGTCTTTATAAACTGTCACCCTGACGACTTAAAGCCTTTCCAATTCTTAACTAACACAAGTCTACTCCAAGCAGACAAAATTTTAGGAAAGTCCTTTGACCATATGGAGCACAGCTAATGTGAACAGGGTAAGGACAGTAATCTATTTTTCCTCCTAACGGCAACAGTGCTGTCTTGTCAGATGATTATTTGTATTTCTTAAATAAAGTGACAATCTAGGACTCCAGTTATTGAATGCTGTCCATTCTCTACCATAAACCCCTAGTAGATATCAATTTAATCAGTTATGTACTGTATGCTTATAATATCTAAAAATAAAGGTTTGATATAAATAAATGTCCTTTAGTGGCAGTATACTAAAAATAGCCCTTTGCAAACTTCAGACCACCATTAAAATCATTTTAGCAATACAGGCAGCAGCTAAATATGATGACTGCAAAGGGTTAATATTGCAAAGTCCATTTGGTCTTTTTTGGTACCTGTTACAGCTAACTAGGGTCATTGCTAAATGTTTCTAGGATGCTGACAAATGAACAGATCTGATGTAGAACAAGTGGAATCATTTACATTTCCCGAAGTCACAGAATATTCTGCACAAAAATAGTCCAGTACCATTTGAAATAAAAATTTAACACAGTCAGAAAAAAAAGTGACTAAATCTGATTTTTACCAATATATCAGGTGACATGAAAATGAGAGAATTTCCACAGGACAAGAAATTAGAAAGTGTAAAGTGCTGAAAGACCTCAATAATTACCTTAAAGCAGTACCAGAAAGTTCCACTTTGATTATTCTTTTAAAATCCCCAAATACCAAAACAAGCGAACAAAATAACTTCTATGTTTTCTAGCATCCCAGAAGTCAATTCATCCTTCATTTTAAGTAAAAAATCAGTGCATATGTTATATAGGTAAATAAAAACAGGAAATAAAGCCCTATCTTCATATTGAAAATTCTGTCCACTTGCCATTTTAAAAAAGTAATCCACATGTGGCGTGCTGTATGATGACATAAAACACCTCTCTTTTCTTCCTTTTTGGCACAAAGTTCAGGTGTGAATAAGATGCTTTGGTCCTGATAGCAGATACCCAGCATGCTGAGGGCGGCGTACAGAAAAGGCTGTCACAGAACTTCTGTGTCCAACTTGACAGTCGGTGGGCCTGGAGGTCCTGCTACCAGCGGCCACTGACACTAGCGATGTCTGAGTGATATTGACGCGGCAGCCTCCCGCTCGCTCCACCTTCCAGGAAAGAGGTGCGTGCATTTGGTGATTCAAAAAGCTTTCTTCGGTTTTTATTTAGTTCTAGAGAGAGAAAGAGATGACTGTTACTTAATGGAGAAGTTCTATAATCTGCAGGACATGGCAGTAGAGCTCAGAAAACAAGGAAGCCTGGGGATAGGGTGAATTAAATCTGGTAGCAACAGAAATAACCTTTAGTTGAAAGAGTCAGGACATTTGTGAAATACTAGAAAGTGTGGTATTAAATGTAACCTGTTGACAGCTGAGGAACCAAGGACAAAAAAAAAGTTTTATTGCAGTTTAACATAGCCTCCAGATAGTGTATATTCTCAGACTCCTCTAACATCCAGATCTACAAAGGACACAGGTTTGACCTCTCCCAAATGTCATTTCAGAGGCAAGGGGGATCATCAAGGCTGGTGAATGGCATCTGAGAGAATATATTACCAATGACACACACAAATTACAGCTATTAGACTCATTCAGGACAAACACAGTAGACGATACTACCCCTAATTACGAAGTCAGACATGAAGACCCCACATCTAAACCCGCGCGCACTGCAGGGGCATAGTGCAGTGCTAAGGCACAGTCCTGTGGCTGCTGCCACTCATGGCATCTGTATCCCTGGAGTCTGAAGCGGTCATAAGAAGCTTATCAGTTGGAGGTATCTTTGAATAAAAAATCAACTTCGTGAAAATAGCAACAGTTCAGAAAATAAGTACAAATGGAAGCAATCCTTGAGTCCAGATTTTCAAAGAAAAAAAATATTTTTAAATCAGATAAAATACCATTTACTAAATCAGATAAAATACCATTTACTTTGTCTCTTATTAAAAAGTATTAAACAGAAAGGTAAAAAATTAATTGTAGCAGCCTACATGCAACAACACCCACCCCCGTCCCCCGCCTTCACACACACATTTCGAATCAACTCATAATGAACAGAATTGGCAATTTCTAAAAATCAGGATTTCTGGTTTGTAAAGCAAATATTTTCAAACTGTCTTTTTGGTGATGGGGTGTTGCTGCAATGATTTAGCACCTTACATCTGCATACTATTCAACTCTTTCAACTATCTACACAAACTACTCTTTTGAACTGAGGTTACACTGCAAGCTCTGGCCTGCTACGGAAATGCTGAGGCAGAGAACACACACAGGTCACAGGTAGGCTCAAGGGACATGTGGCCAGATGTGCTCCAGTCTCCTGAGTTTCAAAATATGGACAAACAGCCTTAACATTTCACCCTCCGATGTCCAAAATTTAAATGCCTGCTCTAAATGGGTAACACAAGAGTAGAGACAACACTCCTTTGTTCACATTTAGGTCTCAGGGAAGGAGAAAACAAGTGATTTATTAGAGCCATTTATATATATATAACAAGCACTTTACATTTGCTTTGTCCTACTGAAGTCTTCTTTAGGGATAGATGCTATTATTTTATCATTCCCCATTTTATAGATAAGAAAACTGCACTTTAAAAACAGGCAAAATAAACTTCTCCACAAGGCTGTTAAGTGACAGACCTGAAATTCTACCTGCCTGATGCAAAAGTTGGACTCTGGGCGCCAATGCTCCATCAGGTACATTGAGAGGATGAACTGAGGTATCAGGCAACAAATTTGAGAAACTGGTAGTTTCGGGGGTGCCAGGTAACAGAGCTTTACTTTGAACTTCAATATAGCCAATTTATTTTTTATTTTTTTTTAAGTAGGCAGTAAATGTCTTTTTTTTAATTTTTTTTAAGATTTATTTATTTATTGATTGATTGATACATACATACAAGCACTGGGTACAGTCAGAAGCACAGGAGGGTGAGAGAATTCACCAGAGCCGGGAGCAGAGCAGGCAGAAGGACCGAAGTACACTGCTGAGGGGAGCAGCGGGCGGCAGGAGAGGTCTGCGCGCCATGTGGGATCCTCCTCCGATGGCCGGGGAGCAGCCGGGGATCGAACTGGCGCTGCAGAGGCTGCGGGCAGCTTTGCAACCCAGCGTTCAACTGCTGCACCACCGGGGAGGCCCAGCCAATTTATTTTTTAGATAGAAAAACACAGCTGAAAAAAGTTCAAGGAAGATACCTTTGCAAGCAAGACATGCAGGCATATTTTGTTTAAAGTTCCTGCAGAAACAATACCAATGACATTCCTATTAAAGGCGCAACACATGCATATTGTGTTTAAGGGCAAACTTTAAGAATAAATGAATTCCTTTAAGTTAAAACACTTTCTTTGGCCTTCGTTTTCTCTTAGGGAAATAACTCACAAATTAGGACAATCCCATACTATAGAGAAGGAAAAGGAGTGAATGAGATCAAACACCATTCCCCCCAGTATACATAACATGTACCACTGCACACGTGAAAACAACTGGGCCACGGAAGACAAAAAAAAATTAGTAGGCTCTGAAAACTTAATTCTGAAAAATCACATCAACTAGATTGAGGGATTTCAGCCATCCCTAAAGACACAATTTCTGAGTGTGTATTTCCAAATGCCAGGCACAGAGATAAATCTAGAGAGATTATGAAGGATCAACCCCTATCAAAGACAATTTAGTTATTTGTTGTTTTTTTCCATTAAGCAAACTCCCTCTTCTGATTTTTTTTTTTTCTCAGTAAGCCTAAGGAATAGTTTGGGAAAATACCAACCTTTTTCTTTGAAATTCCAAGGTCACACAATCCTGGCAGCTCTCAGGATCTTGTTGCGGATCTGAACAGAGTCACAAACTAAAAGAATAGGTCGGGAAATGTTAGATCTACCTGAGGCCGTGTGGGGTAAGTCTGTCAACAGGATACTAAACTTCCTTTCGTCCCTGTAAATTTAAGCACTAACTAATATACCCTGAAAAAAATTTTTAAATTTTCAAAAACACATGGATTTGGGAAAAAAATTTCTCTGATCCTTCTCTACCAGAGACAAATCTCATCTATAACATTAAAATGTCTTCTGGCCCAAGATTAAAAATAAAACTTCATACTGAAAGAACAACTCGATTACAGGTTAAAAATCTACAAAATTTTGAACAAACTGTATCTAACCAAACTCTATATTCATAAGAAAAATATGACCAGCTATTTTGCATCTATCTCAAATGGGTTGTTCAGAGATTATAAATGCATGTCTTTGTTATCAGATGAGTTGAACTGGAAAAAGAAGCTTTTTGATGAAGGGTTTCGCAATAAAAACTCATTACTTGCAGAGAAAATTATTCACTGAGTTCAAACAAATGCACTCAACAAAGTAAGGCAAAATCATCCTTAAAATAATCAAATACTTCACACTGTGTAGAGCATTCAGAAGGCATCTTATTCCAGTCTCTAATTCCCTTTAAAAGCAAGAGGACCTGTGAACCCCACTGAGAGGCAGTCTATAGAGCAGGATGTAACCTCAAAGAACCACACTAAAGATGATTGCAGAAACTTTTTTTTTAAAAAAAGGATTCAAACCCCCATCTCCCTAAAGTACACCACAATATATTCCAAATAAAGGTACTAATGATCCATCTGGAACCTATAAAAGTATTTAGAACTATCTGATTGCTGCTACAGGCTTTCTAGACTTTAGAATCGGGTGGGTACACAAAGGAAGAAGTTAAATTTCTATACTGTCACTGACATCCAGGAATTTCCAGTGAAAGATTATAGTTTTCCAGAATACACACTCTGCTCTGGTAGAAAAAATGCTGCATAGTTAACAGTATAGGCATGATTATATTAATCAAATTTCTAGTATATCAATTTCCAATTAGCAAAACAATATAAAATTTATTTAAGTTGAAAAACCTGCTCTATTGCCATAGATAAGGAAGTAAAAGGGCATGTCCTACTCATCGTATGTATTGTTAAAATTGCAGGTTGTCTATTTTCGTCACGCCTGATGAGATAGATACCACGTGGAAGAATCTTACAAATGGAAAGTGACCTTACAAGATCATCTGTTCCAATTCACCTTCATGGTTAAGAAACCAAAACCAAAAGGTTTGGGAACTCACCCAAGGACTCATAACTTGCCGGAGGTAAAGCCCAGATTTCTTTATTTGAATACCATGTTCTTTCCACTATACCAAGCCGAGCTTATGAGCAAACAAGAAAAAGCATGTGCCCTGTGGAGCTCCATTAATGCAGCCGCGTGGGTACACACATAGAAGGAAAACTTCTCAGCCTGATGTGAGCAGAACTCTACCATAGAAAAGGCACAGAAAATCCTAGCAGACTGCTTAAGGCTGAATTTCCACCCTATTTTAAAGCTAATCTGCTTCAGATATTAGGTCTATATATAAGATTGCCTGTGGAGAGGTGGTGGGAGATGCAATCTGCTAAAACAAAATGGAAAACTACTGAGGTTTTTAATCTTATTTGCTGATCTGATTAGTGAGTACTGTTTGGAAATGACTTTTACCAGTTGGATGCCACTGCTGGCCTCATAAAAACATAGCCTGCAAATTCAGTGTTTTGGAAAAGCAAAGTCATTTTCTTACCACACCTGATGTTTGGCTTCTGCCCTGGATGTCTCTCTTATTGAGAGACTGGCGCACATATAAACTTAACATTCAGATAGGCTTTAAAAAGTAACCTCATTTTTTCCCTCCAAATTTCTTCATATTTCTCTAACCACCTTTTTGAGGTGAACTGTTATGAATTTGCCAACTCCTGATACATTATCTGGCTTAATTCCTTTCAAACTGAAGGTAAATATGTATAAGAGCATTTTCTAGTACACAGGATATGCAACAGATGCAATCTGGGAAAAAGGAAATATTATTTTCCTTTATTCTGACTACCTCAGGATACTACACCCTTCTGTGACTCAAATTCTATTAAAATTTTAGAAAAATTAAAAAACATTATGACAAATAATACTTCCAGGCTCCAATTATACCGAGGAGCATCCTTTTTCTCTCTGGTGCAAAGATCTCAATTGGTGTACAAGGACACATACATTTGCAACATGACAGCCAACCCAAAATAATTATTCATTAACCCCAAAATTATTGCTTTAACACATCACCAAGAGGAGAATTCAGTTGCTCTCCTTTTCTCATATTCTGCAAGGGGCAATTTTGGTTAGATCTTTCTGTAGAGATCTGTTTTAAGGCACAACATTGTCCTGATAGAGTAGGTGCAGTCTCAGCATTTGTCAGTTACCAGAATATTCTCAATCCCCAAGCCACCGGATTAGTAAGCGAGGGGTTGATGGTAGAACAAGTTCCACTGGCTGAGAACACTAACAGAGGTTATTCAGATTTTAAAATATAAATATGAGCATTTATATTCACCTGAGATTGCAAGCAGCATTTTCCTCCTGGCACCAAAAGTCGTAATTCCTAGCTCCTTCAGATCCTGGTCTGTGAGAGTGAGGAATGTCTGAAGATCAATCTGTGGGTGAAAAAGTAATGTATAACCAACAAACTAAGTACTTATTTTCACACCTATTTATTAAATATGCCCTGCCTGCTTGCAAAAAGAAAGGTGCTGTCACAAAACTAAAACAAGAGGAAAAGAATTAAGATGGCAAACTGAAAGCAATGATTCTAAGCCAATAACTTACTACAGTTGAGATACGCCTGAGTGTCCTGGTAGCCAGGGGCAAAAAGGGAAGCATGGATTGGACAGTTTGTGTGAACTGTTCAAGCAATCTCTCTCCAGGAGAGTATATAGCTTTGGATTCTGAATAGGTTATGTGTATCTCTATTAGAAGAAAATGAATACCAATACTTCCATCTCACAATGTGCAGTACATAAGAATTCCCAGATCATACGCAGTTAGTTCAGCCATGCTCTCTCTGCAAGTGGCACATGAGAACTATTCCCAATTATAATTGCACTCTTTGGTATCAGTAATGAAGTGGAGGGAAGCAGCCTCAGGATCCACCCTTCCTTTGAATATAAGGTGGAGGAACGTAAAGCAAATGGGGCTCTGAAGCCAGTAGACTCATGTTCAGAATCTGACTTTGCCATTATTAGTTTTGAGTACTTAAGGTGAGTAGGGCATTAAAATAATTGTAGATATAAAGAAAGCAATAGGATCACCAAGAGTTAAGATCACCACTATGGCTAGTAATTCTGTATACATACATACTAACTGTGAATGTTGCTATATACACCTTTCACCTGCTTATATATTATTTAAATCTCACAAGGTTCCTTAGTAGGGAATTCCTCAAGTTACACCAGAATATCAGAAAATAGCCTGAATAATGGAAGCTCTACCAGTTTTCAACACACCTGAAAACAGTGAAATATACTTATTGAATAGTATATATACTTGTCATTATATAGAATACAACTGGAAATGTTCTAGATTTTTAAGTATGTCCAGGTTACTCAACCTTTTTAATCATACTTATCATTTGTTATAGATCTAGAGGTATGCTTTTAGAAATTCTATTTCAAAAATTCCCAAACTTTTCTTAAATGGGCAGATTAAATATTTTAAGGTTTTCAAGTCATATTATCCGTTGCAACTACTCAACTGACTCAAGTTGAAACCAACCACAGACAATATGAAAACTAATGTGTGTCTCTGTTCCAGTGAAACTTGATTTATAAAATCAGACAGCAGGTCAGTTTGCTGATCCCTGTTCCAGTTAGCATTAGGTAAAGCTTATATGGCTTTATGTTATCATGTCTTCTCCCTTTTTGAAGTGGATAACTATAATGAATTTAATTCTAAGCTTCTTCAAATAAGATATTATAGATTTTTAGAAAATACTATCATTGAATAACCTATAATCTCTTACTTTGAAACTTTCTTTGTCTAGCTTCTTAATCAGCTGCTCCCATCTAGCCAGCAGATTAAATAAATTCTTCAATACAACAATGATGAAAGCATTATTCAGCTTAGGAAATGTTGGGTCCAAAAAATCAATACCCCCAATACCAATATACACAACAAATCTTTGTGTGTATAAAAAACAAGTTGAGCAATTAAACTTGTGATACAAAGTACCTAATAAAGAGCTTAATTTGAGGCAGGTCACTGTTGATCATAGTGTAGTATATACAGATAGCAAAATGTAAAACTGTATACCTGAAACTTTAAGAGTTTGCTTTTTTTAACCTATGAGTATAAAATTAGTTCCCATGTCAAACTACAATGCTGTACAACTGAAACCTATGTTATAAATCAGTGTTCAATAAAATTTTTCAAAAATCATCTTGTCGCACAAAAATCCTGAATTTAATTGACATATACTTGGGGATTCCTGCCTTAGTAGGTGTTCTCTAAGATGAGATAAAGATAACTAGCATTGAACTTGGACCGTGTCCAAGTTGCTGGCTAGATGAGAGCAGCTGATTAAGAAACTAGATAAAACATATAGAAAGACAAAAATGCCCAAGGTGGTTTGGTTAATGACCACATTCAAGGTGGTTCTCTTTTCCAGGCAAGCCTAGGTGCTCACAGGCTAGCCCATCTGGGGTTGTGTAGTTATACTCCGGTGATCTCAGACCACCTCTCTGTCATTAAGTGTTGTCTCACTTTGTGGCTTTGGCTTAGCTATACCTGGTAATGTGACAGTACTTGGAAGAGAATCATGCTCAGGGGCTCTCCTCTTTGTGTCAGTGCATAATGGCTTTAGCTGAATAGTTTGACTAAAATCCATGGTAGGATAGTTCATAAGGGATGTGCCTGACTCAGTTCAGGCACAACCTAGATAGTGAATAAGTTAGCATGTAAAATAAGTGTTGTATTCTGTGAGCAAAGACTTCAGCAACATGACTATCATGGAGGTCAAAAAGAACCATAGTTTGTTCTTTTATATGATATTTAAGTGCCACAAATAAAGGTAACAGATTAAAGAGTGAAATATTATTAAAATCAGTCTTGTTGCTGATCTTGGGGAGTTGTGAATCCAAAGTTCCAAGGAATCAATACACTAATTAGATGTTTTAGCTAAAACTGATGAAGGGTTTTTATCTTTTGTGCAAACTTGTTTTTTCTAGTTCTGCTATCCCGTGTTCACGAGTTACACTAAGAAATAAGATGACATTTTTCTTAGCAGAAAAATAAGCTATGAGACTTGAATAAATGCTCAGTGAAAGCACAGCCATAGGTCAATGAGTGATTTCCTCCTAGAAGTTGTCAGAGACACAACCACACCAAAGATGCCTAGGAAAATACACAAATTATGACTGACCTCTTGTTGCTGGAAGACATCTGTATATTTGCCCAGGCCCAGTTTGCTGAAGAGCTCAGGGAGGTCAGAGCCTTTGAAAGAGCTATTCAGGTTACAGCCGTTGCTCCCTGTCAGCGAGGAAATGCAGTCCATGTAATTGCTACTGCTGAGATAGTGTTCCGCTGAAAGGCAAAGGAGAGACAGGCTTGAAGTATAAATGCCCAGAGAGAACATGGTTTAATTAAAAGTTTTAATCACTCAAATATTTCAGATTTCATTGTTAGGCTGAATAGAGCAGTAGCTGCAGAAATACAGCAATCCTTTACTGAAACATTGGCTTTTCATTAAGGAAATGCTGGTTATTGCTTTCTGGGAAGCTCTTGCCATTTAAAAGGTTACTCTTGGGAGGCAGCAATTCAGCAATCATGCCTCTGCAGTTAATAATCATTAATCATATTCTCCATGAGCATTCAGAAACATTTGCTCTTTATAATTGATTTGATGTGAATTAAATGGGGGAATTGGAAGGCGAATTCCTGAGACAATAAAGGTATGGAAAGTTACTGTAAGTCCAGACTCCTTTTGGATGGTAAGATGGTTCTCTGCATCCACACTTGTGCTTTCCTGCAGTCAAAGGAATCCTATGATATTTCAACATATAAATCTAATTCCCTACAAAAATATGAATTGGCAGCACGTTCACAAAATGGAGTGTTCAAAAATTAAGAGCAACATATGAAGTAATAATAATGATATTGGAGTTCCTGGATTTCAGCTAAGATAGAAATAAATGTGTCTCTTGAGAAAAATTCTGAGACAGCACTGCCAAACTTTGCTTTGGCTCTGTGTCTGATTTGGTGGGCAAGTTTCTCCACATTGTCTGTGGTTCTCAGCCCCAAAGTCATGCACAGCTGGGTGAGGAACCAGTGAGCCATGCCAAGTACTTGACCAAATATTCAAATATGCTTCGACAGAGGCTTTGGAGAGCCTAGCACAGCCATGCAGCCAAAATATGGCTCTTGTCTTTTTGGGAATCCTACCTTCCTATACCAAAGATGCAGCTTCACAAGGGATTTTCAGAGCAATGAGGGAGGCAGACAAATCACAAGCCAACCAGATCCATCCAGTCCCTTCTGGGTCTGGGACCAATGCACTCACCTAAACTTAAGAATCTTATGAATCTTATTCTGCATTGTTTTCAGCACCACTAATCATTTTCTCGGGTTAATTTCATCTCACAATAAGTCTTTTATATATCTCAAGTGGAAAGAATTTCTTGGTAAGGATTTTCTCTTAAAAACAAATGTTTTGGGGCCTCCCTGGTGGAGCAGGGGTTAAAGACCGCGCTATCAAGCTATCACCAGCCACTGCAGCACAAGTTCAATCCCAGACCAGCCAAGGAGCAACCCACATAGCACAGCAGACCTCTCTTGCCTCGCCTGCTGCTCCCCTCAGCAGTGTATTTCAGTAGATCTGCCTGTTCTGCTCCCCACTCTCTCTGATGAATCCTCTCACCACCCCTGTACATCTGGCTTACACCCCAGTTCTTGTATGCACAAATCTTAAAAAAAAAACAAAAAACGTTTTGACTCGTATATGAAGAATATGTAGAGAAAAGGACCCACACCAAGCCCATAATACCCTGAGTGCTGGAACAATCCAGTATTTGAAATTAAGGTCACAAAGTTATCAAAAAATATTCAAGAAGAGTGACTGGTGAGGTACCAGGCCAAAGGTGTCATACACAGAGTATGAGAACATGTGACTTGTGATCCCTGGACTAGACAACATGTGATTCCTGGACTGACAGGCTGGCCATATAACTTATGGCCCAAATGATAAATTTACTTTGAGAATAAAAGAGGAGGGAGGTACTGAGCACTTCACTAGAACAAATGGTATAAACAGGGAGAACAGACACTGGTAACCTTGACAAGGGTGTTAAGAAAATCATCTAAAAGTGTGCTGTTCAATCCAGTAGCCATTGGCTACTTGCCTCTTTAGCACATAAAATGTGGCTAGTGGAATTAAAATGGCCTATAAGTGTAAAATACATACCAGATTTTGAAGACTCAGTACAAAAAATATAAGTCATAAAAATTTCATGTTGAAAATGAGTTACTTTACGTATGTTGGGTTAAGCATATACATTGCTACAATTTGAAAAAAAAACATGTTTTAGAATATTCTTAGTGATACTTATTATGGTACACAACTTTAATTTTTTTATCTACATTACTTATAGTTTCCATATCCTCTCTGAAACTGCCTAAGCTCTTAAACATCTGACAAAAGCCAAAAAACTATGCTTCTTTAATCATTCTTTTCTATTAATGAGCCCCCTAGCCCTAATATTGAACTTGCATGCAGCTAAGTTGTACAGTCAATGTTAATTTTCCAGTGTTAAGTGATGGAAAAGGAGAGAATGAAGCAAACACTCATTCATACGGGGCTATAGAAATGGAGATCTTTTCTACCCCTTTATCTGCACCTGACACCACTCTGCCTCTCAGCTCCATTTCCCCATCAGTGGTTAAAATCAAGCCGCTAACAGTCTCTGGCTACTTATGACAGGCCCTGGGGAATGAATGAAAGAGGTGACAGTGAGTGCTTTCTTATTTAGACTTGGCAGACACCAAGATTGGCCGTTTCAAATCTGAGACTCTTGGCCACACAACCAACTTGATTGACAATAACAACTGGCTGTTACTGAGCATCTACTACGCTCACAGGGATCACCTTCCTTCAAGTAGTATTCGAATACTCCAAGTTATGTGTTTCAGGATTCCAAATTTGTCAAACACCGGCCCCTCCCCGCTGGCAAAAAAAAAAAAGGCATCGAGGACATATATTGTCAGTAGCATGTCAATTCTTGTCTACTTATACGGCCCAGAAGTATGGGTGCTGTTATAGACAAATCCACAGCACTAATGCTGAGTCTTTGCCATATTTGTTCACAGCTAGAACTGCTCTGCTTTAAACTGCTTTCTCTATGTCAATTCAGCTACATTTTGCCTATAGAAAAAAAAAAATCAAACCCTGCTCTTCGCCTTTGGTAGCTCACCTCGGGTCAGACTTACTTCCATTGTCCAATATGCTACTCTGACCACATTCTGCTCAACTCCCTTAAGTCCCTCTCTTTTTCTTATCATCTCCTGGATGACTGTGTGCATGATTCATTCATGAGTTCATTCAGCACACATTTACTGAACCCTCAGTAGGTGTCAGACTCTGAGACATTTGGAAAGAACGAAGAAGGCAGAGCCTCAAAGCATATTCCTGGCCTATGGGTATTAATAAGTGTTTACTGAATGAATAACTAGATCCTTAGCTTGTGGAACTCAAATTCTACCAGAAGAGGCAGATATTAAATAAGTACTTAAACATCAGTATGATAAGTAGTAGAAAGCAGAGAGACATGTGGCTGCTTCACCAGGAAAAACAGGAAAGGCTTCACAGAGGAGGTAGCCTGTTGAGTTACACCAAATACTCAAGTGCATGAAACCAGGAGTTTATACTTGAACATCACACTAAGCCCAGTAATCAATTTCTAAGCTAATTACATCTGTACATATGACTAAAAGTCAAAGCTCACTTGATTTGTTTTGTTTACGCTTGGGGCTGCCAATAGAAGCTGCAAATTCACCATGACTTGTGGGTCCTATTCCATTTCTGTCTCTCCAGTTATGAGATTCACTTCCACTTCCCAAGTGCTCACGACTGTTGGACCTCGACAGGGACATTGATGAGCCCTGTAAAAAAATCAAAGCCAGAAAAGAAAATATTTAATAAGCTGGGCTTCTCAGGATGGGAGAAGGAAAAATCCAAGTCCGGCCTGCCATTTACCTTGATTGCTAACCACTGCGGTTTCCCATGAAGGCTGATTCTCAGGAATCCTGCCTCTAAAGCTTGTCCAGAATTTTGCCATGGACTGAGGTGCTTCATAATTGAGCCTCTGCACATCTTCCAACTTTGTCTTCAAGGCTCCACAATCCTGTCTTCTCCGTAGTGTCACCAACTAGTTCTAACTTTAGGATAAGCATGCTAGTTGTTTCTTGGCCAAATACCCTTTATCTTCACAATGTTGGTCCTTCCTTGTCACCCAGGTCTCAGCCTGAATGTCACCTGCTCCTAAGGCCTGCTATGACCACCCAATCTAAAGCTGCCGCTAAAGCTGTTTCATATTTATCAGGGAATTATTTACCCAAGGCCTTCTTGATTATCTGTTTTGCATGTCTCTATCCATCAAAAAGAAAACTCGACCATCAAAGATCCCTTGCATTGTACCTCTAGTGCCTAGACAATATGCCTGGAATACAGAAGGTGCTTAATAGTTGTGGAATTACTGGCTCTCACAGATGCCTTTCCTTATGTCTATGGCAGGTCCTGTGCTGACTTTAGGAAAGGACATAGGGAAATGAAGGCCCCTGAGACTAAAAACTGATTTTTTCATTTAAAACCATCTTTTAAATTATGTACTTTAATCAAGATATATCCAATGCAGCTAGTAATTCAAAACTATGAATTGCTAACATAATGAGATATTTTATAATTTTTATTTATACATTGCATGTTTCTACATCTATCTATGTACACCTATATCTATACCTGTACCTATGTCCCTATCTATATCTATACACATATATACCTCACTAAACATGTTGATTTCTAGAAACACGGAGTAAAGACAAAATCTTGTGATATCTACTAGTTCATTATCTACTAATTCAAATACCATAAGAAGCATCTTGCCTCCATTCTTTAATTTGTAAAATTTAAAATAAAATCATTATTCTGAGGAAAATTAAAAACCATCTTTGTTCCTAATGCAAGATTTTATTTGCTCCAGAGAATATGTGCCCATTACTTATGCTTTTAAGGGGCAGTGGCAAAAAGGGAAAATCCCTAACCAAACCCTGTTATAAATCTATTGATGATAGAGATATTGCAGGTAGAAGCAGCCTTTTTGACCTTTGGTTGACCCTATAACAGTAAGTAGAAGGAACGTATTTTTGAATCTTGGAGAAAAAAAGTTTCAAGCTCCCTACTCCTTATCTAAAGGATCTCTTTGAAACAGGCTATTTTCTCAAAGCTTCCCTAAAACTAGAAACAACTGCTCAAGAGTAGCCTCTCGGTGATCTGAATATAGAGCACAAAGCATCAACTTCTTGCCCCGAGCAAGTTTCCAGGAGCAGGAAAGCCATGTGCTTCCATCCCTGGCACAGCGGGAGGGTCCACACCCATCGGAACCTATTGGCCAAACATGCTTCTTCTCCTACATCAGCACTCTACTCATCCATTTGGTTTTACTTTTCTTTGGAAAAGAATATGGAAAAAGAGTGTTTCTAGCCACCCTCTAATTTAAAAATATTAATGCTATAAGCAGAGATGTGTTCAATTTCTTAATACAAATTTGAAGTTCTCTCCACTTTTCCCCAGTTCCTTCTCCACCCTATGCTGTTCCCACATCCTATCCCAAAGAAACAATCCTTACTAATGCCCAGTTTTTAATCCTTCTGAACTATGAAGAATAAAGGGAAGAGCATAAACATGCAGGCAGGAACTGCTGCAGGGTATCAGGCCATGCCATGTAAGGGCCCTTTCCTCCCTGTCAACGGACGTGGGATACAAGAAGAAAAGTTCAAGTCCTAAACACCAAGGAAAATCCAGAACACCATTTCCAAAGAAAGACTGATCATATCAATGTGTCTACAGAGAACCTGAAGAAAAGCAGGTTACACGGTGAACACCCATGCCCTGCTCTAGCTGGGCCCCCTCCCCAGCCTCTTTCACTGAGAAGGGCTGCTAAACATCAGCCGGGAAGGTGGAAGAGGTGAGTCCAAGGTATCCAAAGCAAGAAAAGTCACAAGAGGGACTCCAGCCACTGGGTCTTGCACATTTCTGCCCACAGTAAGTGGTCTACTCATCCTGGGCAAATGCCGGAGAAGAGTCAGGGGGTGATAGCTTTCCACATTAGCTCCCTCAGTGTTACATCTCCAAGGTTGCCTGTATCAGAATCACATTAGGTTTATGCTAAAAATACACGTTCCTGATTCTACCCCACCCCCGTCTGATGAATGGCATCCCAAAGGAAGAATAAGCATACTTAGCAAACTCTCCAAGTGATTATTACACCTGTCCAGGTATGCCAACATGCTTCCAGATCACGTGCCTGTCACCTCTGCAAAATGCCCTCTAGCATAAACCACCAGGAAGCGCAGTATAAGGACACTCTGCCAAAATGAGTCTGACTCCTTTTTCTGACACATCCTCCCATAAACAAACGTAACTGCTCTGGGCTGCTGCCTCTTCATGGGGAAGTGTTAAGACTCAAGGAGTGAAGTTCCTCATCAAAACCGCAAGTCCAGGGGCGGCTGTCAGCCCTCTCAGCCCTACAGTTGACCGCTACATGATGAGACTGGCCATCGTGTGGTCGCTGTTGGGCTTCAATAGCAGAACTGAATTAACATTTGTAAAGGGTACTATTTCATCTCTGGAAATACAGAAACACAACCAGCCACCCAACACACCCCTCTGCCAAAAGCAAGGAGAGCGACACGGATGACCACAGGGGCAAGAGGTGAACGCTGCAGAGTCAGCACAGCGGTTGGAAGGTCTCTGCCAACAAAAGGAATTGTTTATTTTCTCTCTGAGTTCTAATGGCAGCAAAAGGAGTGTACTTCCTAGCACTTTGAAATTTTTCATACTGGTTCCTACATTCTAACTGCTGACGGGAACTTCAATCTTTAAATACAGCCTGCCAGGCTGCTACTGTAAGTCTGACAATGCGATTCAAAGGAAACTATTCTTTTGAGTATTTCAATCATATTTTCTTTTTCACTTACCCAAAGGAAAAAAAAAATAGTACATTTGCTTTTTCCTTTCATCAACAGTCTAATTTATTACAAAGAATATGGGTGGAGAAAACAAGGTCAGTCTACAAATGCTAGTTATTAGACTAACAATTATGAAACCCTTAACTAGTATTTGTTTTTCAGCCTACAGTTGAACATTGTGATACTTGGATTAATCATTTTCATCCACATTTGCTCTGCCTGATCTCCCCAGCATTGTGCATTTGCACTCACTCTGTCTCTCTAGCCAACCCCCCAACTCTCCAAGGCTTAGAGCCAAAATCTGATACCCTCAGATTGAAAAGGCCTGCTCAGTGAGTCCCGTGCGGCCTGGCTGAGGACTCTGGAACGCTGGATCCCTTCTCCCCGTGGCGAGGATGCCAGCTTCCCAGTCTCACTAAGGAGTGCAGCCAACATCTGGGAAACATAAAATTTTGGAGCTCTTGTTTGTGATACTTCCTGCCGTATTCCTGGCACATCTGAACACACTGGATTTTTACCTCATATCGGAAAACTTGTTTTTGTTGAATATTTGCCTTTTCTCCTTATGGTGGCTTTGCTAGTTGATTAAAAGGACTTTATATATATATAAAGTGAACTATTACATCTTCCCTTTGCTTACCTTTAGCCTTGCTCTATAATTTATGACACTGTCCCCGTAACAAACATACATTTATCCAAATTCTCATCACCTTAAGCTGATCAACAACTTTGAGAGAAGATATATATGTGTATATATAATATATGAGGGTGTCCATTTAATAGCAATATAAATTTCACATGAATAGAACTTAAAACCCAAATCACCATGAGTGACTCTTCCTTATGAAGAGGGGAGCAATGGTTGTTCTCTTTGTTAAGGGGAACGGGCAGCAAGAATGAGTAGGGCATGACTACAAACCTCAAAAGTGGTTGTCATTGTGGGCTTATAGGACACATGATTGGCCCTTCTCAGCTCCTTGATGGTTTCAGCTGGCATGGATTTAGAAAACCCCAGGCCACTCCAGGTATTTGTGGGTGTTCTGACCTCCGTCACCACTGGTTTCTTTAACATAGCTTTGGAAAACAGAATATAAAACAGATACTTAGTATTTTTAAATGTACTTATTAGATAAAATAATGAGGTTGTTTCTTTGACATATGTCAAGAAATAATCTCTAAGTACTATTTAACACAAAATGTCTTAAAATGTCTTCAGAGAACATTTTATAAAAAGGAATAAATTTAAAAAATCCAACAGTATGTTTTGATTGATCTAATATTAATCAACTCAACAACAAAATACAACCCAACCTCAACAAAATTTTTGCAAATTGCACCAAAATATCTGGATTTTTTTTTGAATATGCAACTTCTCAATTCAACCTTTTTTGGGGGGTTTATATCACATGTTTTTATTTTATTTTATATCTTTTACAACATTGTGTATTTCCTGTAAAAGTCCCACCACCAATTCACCTGTGAACCATCACCACAGTCCCTTGTGCTCTTCTCTCCCCTGTTGTGATTCCTCTACCTCCCCCTCCCTTGCAGAATGTCTGATTTATAGTTGCCTGCTAATTTTGTTGTTTTATTATTGTTGTTGTTGTTCTTGTTGTTCTTCCCTGATCCTTTATTTGGTTCTCCTATATTCCTCCTATAAGTGAAGCCTTTTGATATTTTTCTTTTTCCTTCTGTTTTAATTCGACCTTTTATGAATGAACTGAAAAAAGTAAAGTGTAGATCATTAATATTTCACATACCTTTGGTTGCTAATAGTTTTTTTTGTTCATAGTCAAAGGCCTGAAAATAAAACAGAGAAAATATCTTTATTATCAATTTACTCAAATGTCATGTCAATACTCCATGATTAGAGAACAAAGGTTTTGATTATAGTCCATGAATCCGACTGGGACACATGTTAAGTTTCACACCATGTGACAGAATCGAGTTACTGTCTGATAAATTTAAACATGTTTTCAAAACTAATTAATTAGAATAATAAATTACTATATCTGACTTTTAACTCATGACAATGACAAGAGTTAGAAATTTTCCTTAAAAATAAAATATATATCCAGTTCACTATGAATATTTAACACACCAGGACCCAGTATGTGTAATATAAAATAAATAATCTAATAATAGTTTTGCTAAGTTTCAAAATGATGTATCATCCAAACACTTTCAGGTTATGTACTGGCCTCTTTAGTTTCTCAAATTCCCCTCTTCATTTAGATAAAACATGGATGGGAAGGAATGGGATGAAATCAAGACAACTTGACATATTACTTATCCTAATTATAGTCTTTACTTTGGAAGTGAAATAAATGGCAAGTGTCTAGCTTTAATCTAAACTACATTAAGCAATATAACAAAATTAAACCTAGTTACCTTTTATTGCATGACTAGATGGCACCATTAAGCCTTTCAATTAACATTGAATGAGTGACTGTAACAGTCAGGTTTACATAAAGACCAAGGTAGGTCACTTTGTAGAAAATACTCCAGATATAGCTACACCTCAGATGCTAACCTAGTGTCTCGATGCCCAGTTTAAGGACTACCTAAGACTTGAATTCAGAATATCTTAAAGGCCTACCATCAATTGCTAAGAGTTCCTTTAACCATTTTCCCAAAAGAACTACATCATCAAATTATATGGAGCCCATATAATTTATTGTCTGAAACAGAATGGTTCTGAGAGTGAAATGTGCTACAAATAATAATTAGGCCAGGATAATAAAGGTAAACAGGGACAGTCTCAGACAAACCAGGATGTGTGCTTCACTCTAAGAACATAGCAGAGACAGATTTTTAGATAACATAGCTTTGTGATATTGTTCAAATCTTCTTTCTAAAATGGCATTAAGAGTTAACATCAACTTTTAATGATTAATATCTAATGGCAAGGTATAGAGAGATTCCAAATTCACTTGTTCAATAAATATTTATTGAGTGCCTTCTGGTAAAAGAGACTATGCTGATGAACCTTGTGGAAGAATACAATAATTAATCAAAAATAATCTACAGCCTTAAAGCACTTAGAATCTTAGCTGGGATGGGTTAGAGGGAAAACAAACTACAAAATAAATTAGGAAGCGAGATAAGTGTGACAAGAAAGGTGGAGACACAGCACTCCAAGAACAGTCAGGAGACAGAGAGATCATTCTTAGCTGAAGGAATCAGGGAATCTTCAATCTTTCTTCCTGTCAATGCACTGGGACTCTTATTGATCTCTTACTGATTGTAAGAGTCAGCTCTTCACTAATGGCATAAATTACATCTACTTAAGGTGAAACTCTATCACCAAGAACATTCTTACTCACTTTCAAAGAAAGGAACATAAAAATGTTTCTCTTTACATGTATCTTGATGGAAAAGAAGATGAGAACCACCAGATGAATGAAAAACATGAAGAGATCATGAAAGGGATTAGTTATTTCTCTCTTTTTTTTTTTTTTTTTTTTTTTTTTTTTGTGGGACCCAAGCCGGCGGCCGGGAAATGAACCAACTCTTTACTCAACCGCTGAGCCACTAGGGGAGGCCCCAGATTAGTTATTTCTTAGGCAAGAGAATTTTATTTCAGACAAACAAATCAATCACAGAAAATATAACAATTTTTTTGAACATTTACACTTAATAAAGGTCATGTCTTTTATAAAACTGTATTTAAAATCTCATGAAAATGTTAAAAGACAAAGGATTAAAAGACAGACAGGCAGGAATCACTGAAGTATAATACAGTTCCATGAATTAGTTTTTTTGACATATCTGTGAAAATGTCTTTGATTATAGGATTTTGTGAAAAGTTTTTCCCTTATTTTTGGAGGTAGCAGGATAGGAATGATAAATCTCTTAGTATGAAGTAGGTAAGTCTACCTAGTTATTCTAAGGTGAAATTAAATGAACACAGGATCTTTAAAAGCACAAATCCTTATTTTTCATATTGTGACCGATATGGAAATTGTTTAATGTAAAGGATGCTGGGTGCTTTGATGGTGGGGTTGGTGTGGTAACATACATGTGAGGAGATGTGACCCTCAGCCCCTAAAACATACACAGTGTTATAAACCAGTGTTATCTCAGTAAAGAAAATAATAAAGCAAGGCAGCTATCCCTCAAAAAAAAAAGTTAAATGACTATTAATTGCAAGTTGTGATGCTAAAAATTAAAAAAGTTTCTAACAATAATAAAAGTTCTTTCAATCAACCACACTAAAAAAAAGAAAACAGCTCTCACATTTATCTATAAAAATGTGTAAGCAACAGATGAATAATGCCATTTGAATAAGAGGTGGTGATGTAGAACATTTTAATATTATAAGCAATTCTTCTCCCTTGAGTTTAATTTTGTTAAGCTTAACCATTTCATTGCTGATGTTTATAGCAAAACAATTCCTAACTAATAAATGAGTTTCCATTTGCTTTTAAGTAGAGTACAGAAGGAAAACCCATTTCCGTTCTACTGCTCCCCTAACCCAGAATAACCTACATTTGGATATCTTTTGCATTTTTTTAAAATCATTACCTGCATGTTGATATATGAGGGCCGGGGGGCCAGGCAGGCCCTTTCAGAGTTCTGCTGGGCGGCGGCAGCACGCTCCGCAGCACGCTCACTCCCGGGGGCCTTCTTGTCAGTCAGGGGGCTTTCTGCAGAACTCAGTTCAGGATCTGAGAGCAACCTGTCAGAGCTGCTGTGAAAGAGTTGAAATTGAATACTCCATTATTATATTCTAAAGTAATGAGTGTTTCCTATGCACCCCAGTCATTATCTATGTTTAATATTTTCAACAACTTACATGTATTATCTCATTTAATTCTCCCAACACTGCTTTGAGGTAAGTACCAGCAATTCCCTCATTTTACAGAGGAGGGGAGTACCTTGTCCAAGGTCACACCTCTGGTAAATGGTAGTGCTGGAATTTGAACCCAGGTGTTTTGACACAAGAGCTGGTACTGAAACTATTTTATGACATATAGTCATGCACATTATAAATGGCATATATACTGTGCCACAGAACAGACATATAACACTGAGGGACAGGCCTCCCAAAAAAGTCCAGGGCAGGCTTTTCAACAGGAGTCACTTTGGCAGGTGGAGCTAAAGTCAGCTGACGTCCTGTGGGTTTTCAAAAAATCTGTTACCATTACCTTTAAAATGATGATTACCCACATTTAGGGTCATCTCCGGAAATAACCATTTTGTTGAAGAAATTTGTATTATAACTGGGCAAATTATCTATTGCATCTTGCTTTGTCATGGGTCACCCTCTGATTTGTTCATTATTATCTTTTTAATCATTCATAATTTTGGAGAATTTAGGAAAGTCTATTATAAATAAAGGGAGGACCAACGAGCTTTGCCTGACAAAAATTCACAATGGATTCACAGAGGACACTCTGAGTTGGAATTAAAAGGGCACCTACAGATCCTCCAGTGCAAAAGGCCAGCAGAATTCAGAGGGAGCAGCACAAGCAAAGGAAAGGGATGTGGATATTGGTTTTAAAGTCAATGTGTGACAGAAACTGACTCGTGTTTTCAAAATAAGTAATGGACAAATCAAAGAACTGATCCAGTGAGTGAATGGGAGGCTGAAGGCAGGGAGGCCATACTGGAGGTTGCAGTTGATTTCCTTAACAAGGAAAGGAGTGGGACTGGTCTTGAAAAGTGTCAATGCAGAGGGAAAGGCAAAATCATTTCTCCAAGCTATATCAAACAGTGGTAATTTGGGATATTAGTACCATGTTAAGAAAAACACAGATAAAGTGCATTTGCACTTGAAAAAATGGGAATAGCAATTATAAAACTGCAATTACAAAAGCAAAACAAGTTTGCAGAATAAAAGGAAGAAGTGGCAATATAGATGATATATGTGCCATAATTGTCAAAAGCTACCTAACTCTCAGGATATACAAGAAACTGTGAGACAGAAATTGGGTAGTTGAAGGTGGGTGGAAACAAAATCTTTTGACGTATAATCCTTTCATTGTTTCGCTTTTTCAAAATGTGAACAGACCATCTATTTGATAAAAAATAAAATGGAAAGAAACAGTAAGGATGGCACATGTATAACTGAAGTATAGGAAGGGAGCATTACATTCAATATAATATATGCACTTACATTCACTGTGATTGGTAAAAAATACCATGATATTGACTTATTCTTAACAAAGTTATCAATTATCTGAGAACAAAGGCAGCTTAATTTAAGAATTCAAAGTCAAATGAATTTACAGCGGGAAAATTTCAAGCAGTAAAAATTCCCTTGCTTATTATTGAAGAGCAAAGAGAATGTTAGAATTTCAGAGCAATATAGATAGTTTAGAGGACCGAAAAATAAACCCAAACAGCTACAGTGGGGAGGGACTATAGAGAAGACAGAAAGATTTATAAAAGTGAAAATTAGCAGTGGTTATTATGAAAAAAGGGAAAACCCATGGATATGATCAAACTCACTTTAACCAAGAAGCACTAACTATTGAGTTTAAAGCTAATTCAGCTCATTACACACTTTTTTTTCAATGGATCAGGGCTTTTGAAGGTTAAAGTACATACTGTAAGTGTGAGTTCTTAGTGCCATGCAAGAGTTCTACCGTCTGCCTCTTGGCACAGGAAACTTTAGATGGACCCATCATTTGTTTCAAGTCACCAGCATTCCCAGAATGGGAGGGGCTTCGAGGCATGCCGACTTCAACAAAAGCATCATTACAACCTGCAGAGGAGAAGAGAGAAAAGTGAAAATCCAAATGCCATCTTATAATCATCTGCAGTGGAAACCAGTCAGAATCCAACACAATGGCTGGAGACATAAGGGGAACAGTTCTTGGCTCCTGAGGACAGCTTAAGAAATTCAGGTTGTCTCAAAAACTCATGAGGAAATGTGAACAGAAGACTCATATTTTTTAAAGAATATTACGGTTAAAGAGTTTATAAAAAGAAATGCTTGACTTGAAGTAAAAAACTGCATGCACGTGTGTGTGTGTATGTGTGTGTGTGTGTAAAATAAATTGAGGCTGTCCTGCTACACAATTACATTCACTTTAAGTTAGGAAGTTATGTGGGAAAGAGATTACGTGCAAACTGTTGAATTTCATCCAAGATGTCAACTTTTTGCATATTTGAGGCAAAACATTCATGATTGCTTAGCAAACCAAAATCATGGCACAGATTTTCTACTATGCCCTTGATCAAAGTAAGAGACCAGACTGAAGTTCAGAAGGAAAGATACCTTCTGTGGGGCTTGACTTGGGAGATGCCTGCTCAGACACAGTGGCTTGTCTGGATGGATCAACATGATTCGCACTCAGTACTTTTTCTCCAAGTGATGAAGTGGATATTGCACCATATTTTATATTTGGAGACTGAAAAAAAAAAAAAGAAAGAAAAGAACAAATAGATAGGGTCATAATTTGAAAATTCACTTAGGTGAAGGTTGAAAGGAGCTACCAGTGGCTCAATACACAGAGCACGGAGCACATACTCCTGTACTCCTGGCTGAAGGACATTACCTGTGCGTGTCCATTTAAAGAAGCCGAGATTTTTTTGCCTTCTGTTTGCATACTGCTGATGTGGACATCAACAGGAGTCAAGCCAGGAGGGGGAGATGGAGCTGTGTGCCCATAGGTGGGGACTCCAGACAACAAAATATTAGTGAGCGTGGGGGCGGTAGATGGGATCATGAGGTGTGGTATAGCAGAAAAACCTGCAACAACATTTCATGAAAATTCAGACTCAACGACTATCTTTTCAATAACATTTTTGTTGCTGCAGATTTCAATGAGAATTCCATATTGATACCTCTCTGTACTTAACATTGGGCCTCCCTGGTGGCGCAAGGGGTTAAGACGCAACCTATGAAGCTGTCTACAGCCTCTGCAGCATGAGTTCGATCCCCTGGCTGGCCAGGGAGCAACCCACATGGCACAGCAGACCTCCCTTGACTCGCCTGCTGCTCCCCTCAGCAGTGTGCTTCGGTCAATCTGCCTGTTCTGTTCCCCACTCTGTCTCTGGTGAATCCTCTCACCCCCCACACCTCTGGCCTGTACCCAGCTCTTGTATATATAAATAAATAAATCTTACTATGAATGTTAAAGTTGTTAATGTTACTATGAATGTTAAAGTGGAACAGCACTGTGGAGAATATTTAATACAGACGTCTCACTGTACAGAGGAAGAAACTAGCAAGACTAAGCATGTGCAGGTAGCTCTCCAGCACATTTGTCTAACTAGAAGCCACATTTCTGAATGGGTCAGTGAGCTTCATGGGCCTTTGTCACTGCTCCCTGAATATCACGTGCTTTGTCCTACTCTGCCTGTCATGTTTGAAGGTTATGTTTAACTTTTATGAGAAATTCACTGCTTTGGTGTGCTCCATTTTAAACAATTTACACCTCAGGGAATTCCTGCTTGGCTGCAGTATGCTTTCAGCCATAAATTTTCCCTCAGAAACAAACTCCTAGAAAATTTTATTTAAAAATTGGTAATACCTAAGAATACATGTCTTGGATTATACTTAAAAGATACTGACCTGTAGCACTTGACGTATTAGCAAGAGGGGATGCCCATAACGTGGGGCTGGGGGTGCCAGAACTTGGACTTTGCAAAGGACTGACTGAGCTATTGAGAGCATTCAGGAGTGAGTTCGGGGTCGTTGAAGTGTTTAAAGATAAGGTGGTGGGTCCCAAGAGACCTGTAATAAATGAATAAAAAGTCAATATGGACAAGTTCAAGATTTTTAAATGCAGACAACCTAAATATTGACATTTGGAATGCACATTGCTTTTATCTAGTATTTTCCAAATATAAAATATGGGTGACATATTCATGACCTTCTTTCAAATATTCACATAAAATATTGTATGATACAACTCCAACACAGAACCCAGCTTACCCACAAACAGATGTTGGTCAGAAAATGGAAGACAGGCATGCCCAAACCAGGAAAGCAGTTTGGGCCATTCACTAGCACCAGCTATTTTGCATTCCACTCAACTAGCCAGAATGAAGAAAATTCTGCTCAAGTGGAAGCCTATTTTAATTTCTCTGAATAACTTACTGGTCACCTACTTACAAACAAACTCTTTTCAAAGCCATGACAATTAACAGTGGATGATAAAGGAATGCTTTCCTTCAGTAAAATGGCTCCGTCTGACCCATTTGCACACAGGTTGAACTTCCCAGAAGAGTATTCACACATATGTCAAAACACAACAGGACTTACTCGTGTCCCTCCTTCCTCAATGTGTATGAGAATCTCTTTCAAAAAATTTTATTTTGGTTTTTTTGCTTAAAAGATCTTTTAAGGATTTAATAAGTAATGAAATTGCCCTGCAGACATGTAAAATATATTCTGAAGTAAAATGCGGATTTGTATATAAGTTTCCAGGAATACTTAAAACATTAAGCTTTATAAGACAGGCACAGTCATGAAATCTTTTTATAAAGGGAATAACACTAAATCTTTGCTCGCTATTTTTCTGGTTAGTGCAGCAGGAGCTCAGTTCCTGCTAAGTTAACTGGCATCTTCTTACTCACACACATTGTGGTGTTATTATGAATCTGTTCTGGTATCTAATGGAAGGAACAACTTTGGGAGTTTAGGTTCCAAGAGGGGGGAACCCATCTCTACTGTCATGACTGGAATCTTAATCATATTATAACCATATTATATTTTTAAAGCAAGAATAGCTATTAGAAAAAATTAAAATATCTTTTCTGTTTGAAATCAACACAGAATGAGGCAGAATGATTTGCTAGATTAATTCACTTTTTATATTAAGGCTACTGAAAATGTACATAAAGTAGTGAACCTATAATAATTGTAATGTAGCAACTAACTTTGGCCCTTAGTTTGGGGAGTCATAAATGACGTGCTCTAAGTCACCCGATTAAGTCACTCACCCCACTTTCTTAAAGAACTAAAGCACGAAGATGATGCTGTTCTTTCATCTTTCTATTCAGCGTAGATATAAATACAAGTCCATTTGCTCCCCTTTGTGGCCGCAGGCTAGATTTCCTTTGTGTCTGGGTGAAGCAGGTCTACCTACCTGGGGTGACTGGGGTTCTGTTTGTTTTCACTTTCCCCTCCCCTGTCCTCCTCTCCTACAAATTTGCAATTACTTTTAGAAAAGCAAACTGGATAATCTTTATCTCCAGGGACTGATAGCAATATTGCAAATGCAAGAGAGAACAGACACATAAATTACAGTCAGGCTGCTCACTTCACTCTCAATGGCATTCTTAATTTAGGAGAACAAACAGAGCCACTGAAAATAAGTCAGACCTTTATTATTTATGCCAAAGTAAGAAGAACCTAGGAAACAGAAATTCATAGAGTCTAATAAAAAGCCAAAATGGATTGATTCAAGTTTTGTTGCTTTTCACCTGATGTCAGGGCCTGAAGAGGAAAGAATAGCCTTTTAAATGGAGCCCCAAACAGTAGAAAGAAAGGGAACTGGATAAGCATTTCCCCCAGTGACTGAGAAGTGCTATAATAATAAATTTTATACCTAGTCCAGTGAGTCCGAGGCCTGCTGAAGCTAAGATATCCAGGCTGGGACATGCCAGGCCAGCAGGGCACGATGCTGGGGATGGACTGGTTGCTATGGTAACCCCACTGCTTTCAAGTCCGAGGAGACATTTCCTTGCTTCATACATATTTAAGGCATTTCGTTCAACACTTTTCACAATCACAGACTATGAAAACACATAATGGGAAAGAAAAAAAAAGTGACATGCAAGTAATCCACCATGAATTGGGAGGTGGGTGAGACATGAATAATGATAATACGAATCCTACTCGGAATATATTAATGCTGCTTTCAAATCAATTGCTCTGTGAATTCTAGCCACTTAGTTCTTACGCTTATACCTTTTGGTAAAACCTTAAAATGTTAGTTAGCATTTATTGGGTGAGTTCTGTGATCCAGGCACCGTGACTGAAGTTGCGCCTATATCCCAAAGCCTTCTGGGGTGGTATTATTCATCTTCGGTGAGGATAAAGAACTTACTCAAGGTTACTGTGAGGGCTGGGCTGTGAAAGGCCCAGCTGGTGAAGGGGCGATGAGAGGCCTGGCACCCTGGTCCAGCTCTACAGCCTATTCTTGTTTACATCCTCCTGTCCTTACGTAGAGCTTTCCTCCTTTATGTCCTCTTTATGAAACAAATCAAACTTGTCAGCATACACAGACTGCATACAACAGTCACTTATGTTTGACATTTATGGCCTATTAACTAATCGACTTTGAGGTTCCACTATTTCTCAATGACGACCTATCTATGGCAAAGCTTGTGGTAAAATAAATTTCTAAACAATGTCTTTTATATTTTCCCTCCACAAACTCATACAGAAAACAAAAATGTAAGCCCAAGGGGAAAAGCCTCCAATGGACAATAAAGATAATTTGTGGCTGAGAAAGCAGTTAAAGCAGCTGGCCCTGGGAGACTCCCAGCAGTCTATTTTCCCCAACTTTTGCTCATTTCTAAGAAAACTCCAGGAATTCTTCCTGCACCTGTCCTTAGCTTTTAGTCTTGGTATCCGCAGTCACCCTAGTCAAGTCAAATCAGTCAAACGTGAAGCTTCACAATCTGTAAAATTTAATGTCCCATTCTCAAGCTTGAAACTCACTGTATCAAGTTCACTTAGAATGAAATCTGTGTTTTCCTTTAAAGTTTTCTCTGGAAGAAGGCGAGATTAATTTTCTTAACTTCGACAGTGAATAGCACCTTATTTACATATATGCAGAATTATACATAAAATATGTATCACTATGCATATATGATTCATAGCTCAGAAATGAAAAATCAGAAGTCATGACCACTCAGTATTTTAGCTATCATAACTTACCTACCTTCACTCAGTTTAGAAACCTTTTTTCCTAAAATTATTGTAAACTTCACAGTTATATTTTATAAATCTTTTATTTTAAGATAAAGAAAATCAAGATTACTGTAACATCTAATACCTAACACCCTAGAATTAAATGTTATTTTTATTCCTGTTTTTGTTGAAGAAATGGAACATTCCTTTTGCTTACTTTCCTGTTCATTTTTCCCTTCCTCCTACCTCAAAGGCAACTCATCCTGAACATGCTTTGCTCTTAAAAAAAGAGAAAAAAAGGCACCGTAGTACAAATTATTGTGCAACTTTTTTTTTTTTAATTCAACACCATTCTTGCCCCTTTGCTTCTGGTACAAAAGTGTCTACTTCAGAGTCTAGAAGTAGAATTGCTGGGGGTAGAGTATTTTCAGTGTAATTAAATGGTTCCAAATTGCTCTTCAAATAATGGCAATTCATACAATATTTAAAAAGGAACCACTTTCCTCATATTCTCACTAGCATTTAATACCATCAAAATCAATGCATTAATTTTTTTACTGTACATGTAGTTACTGAAATTTGGCAATATCTTAGAGGCAAGGTTCTGAAAAGGTTGAACTGGGGATACTTCATTACCTAAAGTATTTATTAAAGAGAATGGGCATCTACATTTTAAATTTCCAGAGCTAACCTAGTAGCTCACAAATAGTAAATTCACTAATTTTGGAACTGCATATATATACACACACACACACACACACACACACACACACACACACACACAGAGTACATTGCTTGGCCTTATTAACTCTCTCTTTAAGCATTAGTAATGCTTAAAGTTACCAGATTGTAAGTTAACAAACAGAAGTTCATTCTTTCCTTCTCATATTTACAGAAAAATAAGGGTCACAAAAAATTAATTCCAAAAAACACCAAATACATAAAGGAAAATGATGATCAGTAATGAGTCCTGTTACAAATTTATATTTGTGTAAAGTAACTAAACATATAACATACATTATATAGGATATTTATCCCCATGTATATGGGGATATATAGAATGTGACATGATGCCTAGTTCTCTGGGTCCAGCCCCAGATTTCCTGGGCCACTAACCTTGCTTGGCTGTTTGGGTTTTGGTTTAATGCTGATGAAGACATCGAGCTGTTCCATCAACTGAGCAATGAATTGTGGATCAACATCAATTTCTTCCTTCATATCAAACATCAACACAAGAGGCAGACAACCCTAGGAAATGTCAGAGTAGAAAGTGCAGGATGTGAAAAGTTATTCATGCAACCATTCAAGAATTTTAACATGCCCATAAATAATGCAATTATTTTACAGATCTAAAGAGTAAACAAAAGTTAAGCTAAATATTCCTTTAAAAAACTCAGACAACTGTGTGCAAATACTGTGAAGAGGCACAAACTATTTTTTTGGAAAACAAGATTATATGTGTCTTAAGTTTCTGTTTTCAGTCCTAAATGGTTTACCCACTCTCAACCTTGAAAATTTTGTCTATTCTCTAAATTCAGTTTTGTTAGTGATGTTTAGAAATTGAATTCTCACCCACATCAACAGTACTAATCTTGTGCATGTAATCAATCACTTAACACTTACAATGTGGCTTTTTACTGTCTCCTGAGTGAAACCTAAATATGTATCAGCATTTAAAGATCTCCACATTTTGGCCTGACTTTGCTTGAACAGTCACAGGTCTGCATGTCCACATGTCAAGGTCAGCCTCAGGACTCGACAGTGTTTAAACAGTTTCTGGACATTGGTATCTTAACTCATCGAAGGGCTTTTTCAACAACTATAAAGTTCTACTTCCGATGAAGCGCAAACTGTTCTTTCTTCCTAGAATAAAGTTAGCATTGTCCCATTTTAAATTAAAAAAAAAAAAACTGCCTCACTTTATAACTTTGCTTTTTCTCTCTGTGGAGAGAAAATTTTCTGATGCACAGGAGACTCAGTGCTAGCTAGGATTTGTACATAAGTTCCAGGAGACATTACAGTCAAACACACTAGGATTAAAATGAAATCATTTATGCTCCATTTGTAAGTGATTTTTGTAAGGACTTTTTATAGTGATTATATTTTAAAAATGGGATGACATTTAAAATAGTTTAAAGCTTTTAAATTTTCCTTTCCCTCTCACTTCTTTCAATAGTGTATGATAACCTGTCACATTAGATAGCAATATTATTGCCAGGAATGGTCAAAGTATGAATATTCGTGCAGTACTACATAGAATGCTTGAAAAAATTTTCACTTAACTCAAAAATAATATCTAAAGAAGAGGAAAAGCAGAAAATATGAAATATGAAGAGTAATCATAGTTATTTTTGGATATGAGCATGCTTCCAGACTAGCCTGACAAAGTAAGCTTAACAAAAAATAAATCATCCAGTAAATTTCTTAAAATTATGTATTATAATCCTTAATGATATAACAAGTTCTTATCTGTCAGAGGAATGGTATCAGCAACAGAGACTTGCATTTTCTGAAAGTTTCTCAAAAATAAATTCTGCAAGTTAATAATAGCAAAGGTCACACGGAAGCTGACTGTTTAAAATGTCACTAAAGGTCAGAAGAATACAATGGGGTTTTCAATAAGAATATTTGTGAGCCCATATCACTTCATTTGGTACAATTTGTTGCCATATATCAGTACGCACACTGGGTTTTTAGATGAGTATGGAAGACTAGAAGTATTGCAAATTATATATTGGAAGTGGTACTGAATTATATAACAGCTACTTTTCATTAACGCATGCCACTTAAGTTAATGGCTTAAATCACATATTTTAAAATTATATCAGATTTATGAAATGTGCTAATGTTTCATGTTACCAAAGTTTATGTCTTTGAGGGTAAAATTTTTATTTTTACTTTTTTGTTTAAACAGAAGACATTCTTTGTCAAATACAAACTAATAATACTATATGTCTGATTAAAATAATCACCTTCCATAAAAAATAGCCTATTATTTGTATTTACCTCTTCTGCATTTACTCTAAGTTAAAAAAAAAAAAAAAACTAGTAATAGTGGAAGGAAATTGCTCATCTCTGTGAAGAATTTAAGCCTCTGAGGTACTGTGTACTTTACTCTTGTAATTTCCTTTTACTAAGAAACTTCCTTATTGACCAGACTCCCAATGTGCCTGTATAAAAACCACATTTGCTCAGTGTACACAGCAACACACCCTGTAGCCATCAAGGTCACAAAAAACAAACAAACAAACAAACAAAAAAAACAAAGCCTGCAACACTCATTTCAGTAAACCTACCATGAGATATTGCCTTGCAAGACAGACAGACTCAATGGTGCCCTGGAGGTAGACGGTGGATTTCTTTTGTGGATTGCTGGGATCAGGAAAGTGGATCTGAGCACCTGTTCTCTGCATGATATGCTTAATGTTGCTTCCATTTCGACCCATCATAAAGAGATGATGTTGAGCTGCAATATCCAGCTGTGTGCTCACGGGGATAGCTGATGCCAAGCTCCCAGCAAGATGTTCCAACAGCATGGCAGTTCCTTCCTAGGAGAAAAGGGTAAGAGAGAAGAGGGCAAAGTGTGGAGGGGGCCCAGTGAATGGTGGTGGAGGCATAGGGATGTGGTAAAAGACATATGAAGAGGTGATCCTATGCAGCTCAATCATATTCTGTGTGGTAAACCTACTCTACTTCAATTAAAAAAAATAAGCAAACTGCTCCTATAGATTCACATACAGCAAAAGGGTCTATTGCAATTCTAATAGCTACAGAGAAAAACTCAACATACTCCATAAACTAGAATTAGTAATACAAGAGAAAATTCTGGAAGACAAATTAACTTAAAATCCTCTCAAACCAAAACATGCATGATGGGTATACTTAGGATGTTCTGAATTCATCTCAATCACTTACCTTCACAGCACTGGTGTTATTCTGAGACCCTCGCACTATGACAGTAGCACCATACATTCGGGAACGCTGTTTAAATGACACTGAAATGTTGTACGTTTGTGATATGTGCTGAATAGAGGGGGAATTAGGATCGGGAACCGGTTGAAGAATTCCAGCTATAGGGAGCTCAAACATCAGCACCAAAGGAAGCAGTTCCTAAAATGAATTGATGACAAACCAATCTACAGTTAAAACATGAGGCATTCAGGGATGTGTATAATTCATTCATTCTTTTCTGAAGGTGGAATTTTAAAACATAAATTGCTTCTGTTATAGTCATAGTTTGCGTAAAGTTTCTTTAACAAAAGAAGCCTTTTGTGAAACATGAGAATTTGTAACAATATGCCTATAGCGTTTTTTTTGCTCAGGCCAATTTTCCTCACTTTGAAATCATCAGAGCAACTGAGTCAGATAAAATTCAGAACATCCCTAACATCTTTACTACAGTAATATAACTTTCAGTTATTATTCCATACATACTGAACATAGGATTTAGTTAGAGATTGTTAAATTATGATATTTTAATGTCTTCTAATGCAAATATCACTAACACTGATTTACACTAGTAAAGTAATAAATAGTTACCCGAATTCTAACTCTGGCAGATTCTACTCCTGCCGTTTGTCCTGCTATAGATACCTGCCAAAACAAGAAAATACAGAGTTAGATTTATTTTAATTGAACCTGTGCCTGCTTTTCCAGTTATCTACACCCTTGTTGCTCAAAGTGTCCTCCAGGGGAAAAAACAGCAGTCATATTATCTGGGAACTTGTTGAAAATGAAAGATCTCAGGAACCAAGTCAGATTTGCTTAACCAGAATTTGTATCTTGACCAGCTACTCAGCTGATTTGTGTCAAATGAGCTACATCACCTTGGGGACTTACAAAAACCTCATAGCCCTCACCAGGCCACCCTGCCCTCACCCACTGTAATTGTTTGCATGCTCTCCCTCTTGTTTAAACTCTTCGCATACTAGATGAATATCAATACACAGTGATACCACTACACTAGTTTCTCAAAACACTGAATTATTTCCATACTAGATGGTAAAAAATTCTTGCTCCAACACCCACCACCAGTCCTCCCCTGGATTCATGCCCTGAACTTTCCCATGACAAATACAGGGTGGTCTCATTTATATGTGGTGCACAGACACACATAACAGAGGATAAGACAAAACCCAACCAATAATAAACTCTCAACATCTGACCGCAAAACTAGGGCAACTACAGAGGGAGAGTGGCGGGATGAGGTTCTGAGAGGGAAGGTTGGGTCACTGGTGTTGGTTAGGGTGTGAAAGTAAACACTTATAGAAGTTTGAACCTATAACCAAACCTACTTTACCTCAATAAATATAGTTTCAAAAAAAATAAAAAAATTATGGCCCACTTAGAGCTCATCTGTAAATGCAGGGCATCTTCAGTCTCCTTGCATTGGGACATACAATCTATAATATACGCTGTTTCCACAATTACTTTTTGTACTCACTTACCAAAAGAAACATGCACATGGAAAATTAAGGTTGTAATTTTCCCATAAATGTTCATGTGAAAAAAACAAAGCACCTGGTTGCTTTTTTCTGCTTGGTTATTCCTGTTAGAATCTGGAAAGTGGATGTGGCATCCTGTGTCTTCCATTACTTTTTTAATATTGTTGCCACCTTTGCCAATGACATGAGAATGTTCTGTGTGTGAAACATCCATCTTCAGGGTGACCCGATTGCTCTACATGGAAATAACATATTATCTCTTGAAGTATAAAACACTTAATCCCCCTCCCCAAAGGAACAGTATTAACAAAAAGTGACCCAGTGGAAGATCTTAAAGATTTCTTAATAAGATCTAATCTAATCTATAAATGCTTCATTTCTATCTATTTCCCTTTGGCTATTAAAAAAAAATTCTCATTTTAAGACAAATTTGTCCAAAGGAAAAGAAATATTTTTACAAAAATATTTCTTGTATAATAAATAGCCTTTAAATAAAGTCAGCTACAATTACAAATACTCATTTTTTGATATGCATTATTAATGAAACATTTAATCCAAACAGATGAAAACAAGTATGAAACTGACAATATGTATGCTAATAGAACTATATAATTAAAATGACAGAAAACTAGAAATAAAGTTCAAAACTGAATTAAAAATATTTACAAGCATTGTTTTCCCAATTTCTCTATCACTGCATGTAACTCTCTACAAAGTAAACCAACTACTGTTCTCACAGGTAGAAAGAAAAGCAAGGAAGAGGTCACAAATCATAGATATCTAGCAGTCAAACACTAAGTAAAACAACATAAAACATAAAATTACATTAAAACAAGAGGTAAATTCTGAGACATAATGAATAAAAACATTGTGGTCATATCAGAATTCATGCATTTAATCTGGGGAAGTTAACCTGTGAAATTATAAAATCTGACATGAAATATTTTCTCATTTACAAGATTGATACTGAAATTCTTCAGTGCTCAGAGTCAAAGTAAAGTCAAATACAATAAAATGTTAAAAATATCAAAAGTTTTACGTGCTCTGAATTCTTCAATTTTAAACAATTTTTCCATGAAGTACTTTGATTTTTTTTTTAAAGATTTATTTTTTAATTTATTTATACAAGAACTGGGTAGAGGCCAGATGCACGGGAAGGTGAGAGGATTCACCAGAGACAGAGCAGGGAACAGAACAGGCGGACTGACAAAATACACTGCTGAGAGGAACAGCGGGTGAGACAGGAGAGAGGTCTGCCATGCCATGTGGGACCCTCGCCGGCAGGCCGGGATCAAACCAGCGCTGCTGAGGCTGCAGACAGCTTCACAGCACTGCGCTCAATCGCCTGTGCCACCAGGGGAGGCCTAGTACTTTGATTTTTAAACTTAGGTCTTATTTTAGTTTTCTCTTTGAAGTACAGGAAAGAGATGCTCAATTTTGGAGAAAATTCTTAAATATTTAATAATTATAAAGTGAATAATTCTTAAGAATAAGAAAAAAAAATCAGAGATCATTTCATTGAGATACCAGATAGTAAACCACGGTGGTGAGGACTTGATAAATCTTCTGTCACAGTGTGGTGTTGAGCTTCATCTCTGCGTCTGATTTGAAGGCTCACAGTTCATGAATTGTCCTTTGTACACAATACACTTTTACTAAATGCCTCCCTCCCCACAAAAAAAGAACCGGACAACCTGGATGCCACTCTCCCACTTACCTATCAGCTATTGAATTCTGAGTGAATTCTGTGTTCATTAAGAGGAAGTGAGAGGGGATGGGGGTGGGAGGAAGGGGAGAGTGCATACTGGACTAAGGTGAGGACAAAGAGTGTTTCAGTGAGATGCCCACAGGGAGCGCAGGCAACTACCCTGAGGGGGAAATCCTATACTGTCAAAACACTATCAAGGATGTAAAACAATGATACTTCAACAAAAATAACAATTAAAAAAAAGGATTAAACAAGGCAATATGCTTAGCAAAGTGCCTGACATATAGTAATTTAGAAGTGTACATTAAAGAAAATTCTCACCAATGAGTACAAATTTTCCATATTTAAATTTTGCATTCCCTATTATTCCTCCATATATGTTCTTGTAGGGAAACCCTACACATGTATAAGAGAAAACATCAAATTTCACACCACCACACACACACAAAGAATACAGAGGAGCGACCTAGTTTTCTATGGGCATTAGAAAGGCAAAAAGGTTAACTCCTGCCAATTTAATCATGACCAATGTCTAGTTTCCGAGGATGGCACATACATACTTATGCACATATACATACACATGTGCATACATACACATATGCATTGTGCGTGATATTACTCAATTACCCAAATGAAAGAAATTAGTGAAATTTTAAACAGAACCCTACATCCATTGTAGAATCATGCGTGCTTATTTTAAAATAAGCACCATTCCTTTCTCCTGGTTTTTCTTCTCCAAATGGTTCTTTCATGACAGCATGAAGCAGCCCTTGCAGATATAAGGTTTTGACATCTGAATGTCCTTAACATTCACTTACTTTTGTGTCCAAGACAGACATGATCATTTCCTTGGCTTCCTTAACATCTTCTTTCTTTCCAGAAACTTTAATATGGGGATCTATAAAAAATCAGAAACAAAAGATTCATGAAAACTGCACTCTTTTAAAATTGATGTTGCAATAAAAGATTCCATAATAAATTCAACATTTTGTTTCATCCTAGGTGTGTTACTATAATAAAACAAGAATATGGAAATCCCTCAAATCATGTATTTATCTGCAGCTCGATTCCATCTGAAAGCTAATCAGAAACTTAAAGCTAAATTTAAATTTAATTACAAGATAATATCATATAATTGTAGCTAAAACAAGTGGGGAATCTAAATTCAATTCATTAATTGCTTTTTTGCTACATTACAGTCCCTGTTCTAAGAGTTTAAATGCACTAACTCATTTAATTCACATAATAATAATATACAGAGAAAATTGAAGCACACAGTAGTTTAAAACCTTGCTGCAGAAAACCACTCAAAAATTTGTTTATTATAATCTAATGTCCTCCAGCTCCAGATCCACACTTTAAACCAAGTGCTAATTTTAAAAAAATGTTCTTTGTGACAATTTTAAAAATATTTCCTGTGATAACTTAGAAAATATTCTTATAGTTAAAAGTTAATTTAAAAAATCATCATTCAAGGACATTTAATAGTCACTCAGAATTTAATATCCATTTGGTTTTGTGTGATTAATATATGCTTTGTGTCTATTATTTATGACAGCTGCTGAATTTCACACAGGAAAGCATTCCTTCATTCAACAAATATTTTCTGAATCTGGACACTGTACCAGGTGCTATTTTGGGGACTGGAGGATAGATCAGTGAGGTAAAAAGACCTCTGTTCACATGAGCTTACAGACTTGTGCAGGAAGATGAAAATGAATCAAATAAATGCCCTAATATATTAGGACAAAGAAATTATTTAAAAATCAAAAGGAGAGCAAGCTAAGAGAATCACAGTCCCAGCTATGGCAAGGGGGTTAGGGGTATTAGACTTCGCAGAGAAAGTAAAGACAGTTCAAGTCTCCTCAGCAATTTAGGTGTTTTAGCAGCCCATCTGTCAGTTTCATGGAACAAGACCATGTAGTATATAACCAATAAATTTAATGACAAAGTTGAGTAACACAGAAGTTATTTATAGGTATTATTACTACTACTATCACCATCACTTCTGCTAATACCGTGCGTGTGGCTTATCAGTGTGTCAGTCAATGACAGGCCACATATATGATGGTGGTCTCAACAAGCTGTACTGTACTTAGGCGTGGGGCAGGCTATGCTGTCTAGATATGTGTAGTTAATTATATGCTATACACTATATGTAATAAGTAAAACCTGTAAACAACCCAAATGCCTATGACTAGATCAAGAAGATGTGGTATATATACACAATGGAATATTATTCAGCAACCAAAAACATAAACTCATGCCATTCACAACAACACGAATGGAGCTAGAAGGAATTATGCTCACTGAAATAAGTCAGAAGGAAAAAGAAAAATATTGGATGGTTTCACTTAGGAGGAATATAGGGGAACCAAATAAGACATCAGGAGAAAAAAAATTACGATACAAAACACAATGAAACAAAAACAAACAGACAATTATAAATCAGAGACATCCTGCAGGGGCGGAGGAGGGAGAGTGATCAGAGGGAGGAGCACAGGGGACTGAAGTGATGGTGCACGGGTGCATTGGTAAAGGAAATTCTATGGGGACTACACCTGAGGGTGGGTGGGGGAAGCAAATATTGTTGAAAAATGAACAATGGTGTAAAAAATATATAAATACAAAAAAATTTTTAAAAAATCATCTGTTATAATGTTTGCACAACCAAAAAGTCACTGTTTCTCAGGAACTATGCCCTTTGTTAAGTGACTGCACTACCACCAACACCATTGCAACAGTCACTGGTCACCCCAAATTCACTGAGTGCCCACAAGGTCCTACTGTCTCAGGTAAGTCTTGATGTACTGTATGTACCTCAGCTCAGTGATAAAGTCTGCAAACTTTTGTTGAGCATCTGCTCGAGTGTTCCACTTGAGTCCTTCATCCTTCTAAGCTGGCAACTCTCTAAAATTAGGAATCAGAATCACCTAGTGGGGATTTTATCAAACTGACAGATTTCCCTGCCGTGTGATTTCCCCATTCTCATCCCACAGTGCAGTGGGAAATGAACAGCATGATGAACATGAGCATGGCATACTTATAAGGTGCAACTGAGAGATGTGAGGAAGGACGGAGGGGAGGGATGGAAGAAACTGTTTTCTAAAGCTAAAGCTCTTAGGACCACGATGGAGCAATCACAGGCCACATTCCCCAGTCTTCTGAGTTAAGGAATGCATCTGGCCTCCTGGGGGACATCCCAGCAGCTGTGGTGAGTTGGAGTCAGTGCCATCACCTCAGGCACCCCGCCCTCTCCCCAGACTGTGTTTGCAGGGTGGCTGCTCTTGGCCTAATGCACTTCTCACCCCATCCTCTAACATGTGCCTCAGACATGCGCCCTGTCAAAGGGACACTGTGACGATGAAAATCAGTAAGATCGGTTGAGACTCCAAGAGCTTATGTATCAGGTATTGTAAGGCAAGGGGCCCAAAAGCAGAGGGAAGAGGATGTCCCCCCATACGTTGGGGAAGAGATGTTCACACAGCTTGTCCCTTGATGCATCCTAGTGGACCACCTTTTCTCTATAAGACTCTCGCCAACTTTAACTCACTATGCAAACAGAGCATTTTCTTCAATAATCTTATTATACCGATTGTAACTCCTCTAGGCAATTTTTACTAGAGCTGTCTACATTGAACAATTTGGCCTCAACTATCTTCAACTTTGGTTTGAATTACTGTTCGCTGACTGACCCGAATCCCTATGGAAAATGTTCCCTTACTACAGTGCAGAACTGGATCTTAGTGCTTCTCATAACACATCTGCTCAACAGACTCACTTGCTAAAATATATATTCCTGGTTGTCTAAGACTCAGATATTGACATTTTGTTGGTTTCCCAACACATTCTTAAATCAAATATAGGAAATAGATTAAACCACCCTAATATGTACTAATAATTAGTCCTTTATGTCTCAACCAAGTATATATAACATAAAATGCTTTCACAGGAAATACAAATTATTTTTTTCACAAAACATTATCAATGAGTATTAAGTGGCATAATAATTACAAAACCTATTATTTTACAGGTTAGCTAAACACACTAAAATTCCTAGGTATCTACAGAGGGACAGGAAATCTCGGCTTAAAAATAATTTGATTTCCTCCCATCTCTGTATCAACAGAACAATAAACAAAATAAAGGCAAAAGCCTCAACAGAAAATAACTATTTCAAAGTGAAAGAGCGCCATCTAGTGGCCAAAAACAAATTCTCAGTGAACACACATGGACAGACACACTAATGTCTAACTCTCTCTTTCCAGGACTTGAATCAGCTTTTGTTTGGAAAATGGGCTTTTAAATAATCAAGACCCATTTAGAACATATAAAACCAAATAACAAATTCATGTTTGTATTGCTAAGGTAGTCAGTAGTACTGTATTTTTCATTCCTTCTTTGCCCTTGCTTATAGATTTATACAGGATGTGAGCTACTACTTCAGGTTGAACTTAATATTCTCATTTCAAGTCCTATTACAATTTTCTGCTTTCACACAGTGTTACAGTGTACAGTTTAAGCTTGCCCATGTAATACAAGAGACTAAGTAACATTGCATTCAGACCCAGTCTAGAAATAATTGATGGACAAAAGTCAAAGGTAATGATATTAATAAACACAAAAGGAAAAGGTCAGCAATGAAGAGTGGATGAAAGGTGAGACAGGAGGAACAATTTTATAGACTCCACTCCCCCAAATTAATGCTTTGAGGGACAACTCCAATTTAGATATGAACCTTTTACTACATTTACTCTAAAAATAACACATTACTTTCATAATCAGCCCACAAACTCCCTGCTTAAGTATTATGTCTTGATTGGTTTTGCAACCCCCACAAAGCCAAACAAGTAGTTTTTAGCTGTTTTAACTGTTGCCCAATGGACTGATGGCTCCCCTAACTCTGGAAGGGGCAAAACACAGAGGAAGGGAATGGATCTGTGGGAAGAGCCTAAACTTCTATCTAGAATGACCCTGTTCATGCTTCCAAAAATGGTTTGGATTTTAACCACTCTGATCTCAGTATGTGTGTGTGTGTGTGTGTGTGTGTGTGTGTGTGTGTGTGTGTGTGTGTGTGTGTGTGTGTGTGTGTGTATATATATATATATATATATGAAACTTTCAGTTTTTCATCCAGATTTTTGTTTTTAGATTCCTGCTCACATCCCTCCAGTGTCATCCTGTGGAAGAGAGGAAGACCAGAGAGTCATCAAGCCTCCAATAAGTAATCAAAAGCTGCAGGGACCAGGCTGTGGAGTGAGGATTTATGTGTGTGTGTGTGCTGCAAAAGTGCTCAGCCTGCAAGCAAGAAGGTTCTTATGACTTCCATATGGACATTCATAAAGACTTGATACGACAACCACTGTTTTCATAAGAGCACATGCTAAAAACCATATTTTTGATAATAAATATTTAAGAGAGCTAGGGCATTTACATGAACATACGTGTTGTTTAGTTATGGTTTTAAAGGATTATCTCTTGATACTCTGGTTTCTACTCTCTGGTTTTCCATCCTTGGAAAAATTCCCATTCTTGGAAGCATTAGTGAATATTTTATTGCCTTTTCCTTCTCTCTTCAAGCTTAAATCTCCTTGCTATTTCATTCCTATCTCAGCAAAATCTACAGAAAAATGTTCATATAGGCCATTTCATTGTATTTATTATGCTACAGGAAGTAATGTGCTATTGACACATGATAAATTTAAGCCATCCGTGTTTCTCCAACAATCTCTTTGTAGCTATTTTCCTGTCTCCATGACTGAGTATTGCTTAGCAAAAGATTCAATCTGAACAGTTCAAAGAAATGCTTCATTCTCAGCATGTTCCTTTAGAGAGAGAAAACAACAGAAAATTTCTTGTTTGACTAAACCCACTCCTCCCACCACAAGACCCCAAAAT